TGAAAAATCACCCATTGTCTTCAGCGAGAGCCAACCGAACCTCCAGGCATGTCTCCCTCCGAAGGTGACGTCCATGTGCCTCTCTTCATATATGGAAAGCACTGTGAGGCTTTTGTTGTAGGACGTGCATGTTTACCCTCCCAATGCTGCAATGCGCTCCTTGCAGCTTGGGAATGCTCCTCGACCCTGAGCTGTCTTTAGAAGCCCAGGTGATGGCGGTGGCGAGGAGCGCCTTCCTTCAGCTTCGGCTCATCCATCAGCTGCGTCCCTTCCTGGAGAACGACTGCCTGGCGACAGTGACACACGCGCTGGTAACTTCCCGATTAGATTTCTGCAACGCGCTCTACGTGGGGCTACCCTTGAAGACGGTCCGGATACTTCAACTGGTGCAGAATAGAGCTGCCAGGCTGCTGACGGGGACTGGGCGTCGTTCTCATATAACCCCAGTTCTCCGTCAGCTCCACTGGCTCCGATTGAAGTCTGGGCCCAATTCAAGGTGTTGGTTATGACCTATAAAGCCCTCAACGGCTTGGGTCCTGGTTACCTGAAGGAGCGCTTACGTCCATATATGCCCTCCCGCCCCTTGAGATCAGCAGCAGATGCCCTTCTCCGGGAACCCTCTGTGAATGATATTAGGAGGGAGAGTACTCGGAGGAGGGCCTTCTCTGCGGTGGCGCCCAATCTATGGAATGTGCTCCCCAGAGAGGTCCGCCTGGTGCCGTCGTTATTTGTTTTTCGGCGCCAGGCGAAGACCTTTTTATTTAAAACTTATTTTAATTGTTAATTTAATATGTAGGTTTTTTAACAAAAAAATTTTTAAGCCAAGATGCACCAGGTTTTGATATTTTTATTGTATAATTTTTATATGTGTTTGTTTGTTTTTGTTGTGAGCCGCCCCGAGGCTTTGTTGCAATGGGGGAGGCATAGAAATGTTTTAAATAAATAAATAAATGTCCGTCTTAGCTGTCAAAGGGGTCCAGAGAATCAATTTCTCCTCCCCTTTGCTCATTTTCACCAAGCAGGCTAATCATTTAAAAGAGCACGTGCATCCACCAATATTAAAAACAGTTCAGTTTCAAAAATTATCTGTATAATAATTAATTTCCTCCCTCAAAACAACAACTACTAGAGACTAACAAACATGTTTAGAAGCACTCACTGTATTGCAGCCCCAACAATGAGCAGCATCAGGTACTCTGAGATTGAGGAAGGATTGCAGTGTCCAGTAGACAAGCGATCAATATTTTCGCTGAATAAGATGAAGCCCAGGATCTGCGGATGTGACAACTGGATGCCCAAGTGGCAATCACGAAGGGGAAGCGGGGTTGTGGCGGCACCCAGAGCGGTTTCTTAAATCCTCTGGGAAATGTCACCTCTGATAAAGGAGGGGACCCATGGCCAGGAAGGCTAATAGCTACTGATGGCCTCCTCCCTTAGGAATCTGCCCAATCCCCTTTCAAAGCCGCCCAGACTGGCATCCATCGCCACTCCCCATGGCTGTGGATTCCATAGTTCGCAGTGTGAAGAAGGTCTTCCTTTTATCCATCCTAAACCTCCCAGAATCAGCTTCATGGGGTGACCCCAGATAAGAGCAAAAGGAACGGGAAGGAGAGGGAGGGAAAGAGGCGTGGAACCTGCCCATCTGCCAGGCTCGTCATGGATACTTTGCACAACCAGCCAACAACCAACCTGCCATGAAGGATCGCCATCATGGCCTGCCAAAGTATGCGAACCTGTCCAGGATGCAATGGTTCGTTTCCTGTGCTTGTACCACTTAAGCAAAATAATATACAGTCTATGCATTCTATTCCCGCAGAGGGAAGTTGTGACTAATCCTGGCCTAGTGTGCCCCCCTCCTCCCTCCCTCCCTCCTCCCTCCCCTTTGCCACCCTGCAGCATGGGATGATAACATGCGTTTACTTTATGGGGTAGGTGCAGCGACGGGTGAGAGTGAGATCAGCTTTGCGATGATCAATGCTTTGTACACTCCGCAGGCGTCTTGCAGGTTTCCAGTGGAAAGACTGTCATGAGAAGCTCAGTGCAAACACCCTTGTGGCTAAAACGACTTTGCACTTGAAGTTATCTGTAAGTTGAGGATGACTTCTCCATTTAGATCAACACGCCTCAAGGGCATCTTTCCCAAAGTTCACACTGAAGTCCATCTCCAAGCCCTCCAGGGCGGAGCCAAGGCAGCCGAGAGCCGCACCCTGATTCTCAGTTCCCGTGAGCAAGCCAGGTGAGACATACCTGGCGAGACTGTGGCGGAGGTGTCAGCTAGACAAGGAAGTACAGTCACATTTGGTCTGGCCCAGTCTGCATCCCTTACCTACCAAGAGCCTCTCTCCTCCCCTCTCAAAATTGGAGTATCCCTTTCTTTCACCCTCTGTGCTCTTCTCCTCCTTTATCATTACCATAATAATAATATTATAATATATAATAATATTTATATAATAATTGTTATATATATATATATAAATATATAATAATAATAATTATAATGAGTAAGCTCTTCAGCCCCTCTAGGGGTGAGCCAGGGAATCTCAGTAGAATTCCTGAAGAGTATTCCTATTTAACCCTGATAACAAGGAACACCGGAATGCTCCTGGCAGCCCTTTCCAGCTTGTAACTGGGAAGAGCTTTGAACCAGAAGTGTGCTAAGCTGAGGCAGCGACCGCTTGTTCCACAAGTCCTGGCAGGAGTTTTGTGATGGGGGCAGACATGAAAAGCATCCTGGGGTGGTCCCCCACCATAAATCTTGGCAAAAGGAACCTGGTAGTCCTTCCTAAAATTAATTATCTATTATATGAAGCAGGTTTCAGTACAGCTGCATTTTTAGTTGAGCGATTAGTTGAGCAAACTCAAGGGCAGGGGTGGGGGAAGGTCGTAAGCGATGCTGCTTGCCACTTTACTCATATGCACCTCATGTTCACACTCGGTTGCCCATGAAGCCCAATGCTTGTGTCAAGGGCCCATTTAGGCTTATCCCAGGTTTGCCTCCTTTGCGAGCATCTTGTCCGTGCGCAGACCTCCTGCCGTTTCGCAACTGGGACCTCGTTTTCAGGGTTGCATTCAGCTCATGGGTGCAGTTTTACAGCTTCAGAAAACAGTTACGGGTAGTGTCAACACATGAGGTCTTGGCAGAAATTTATCGGTCTCCTCTCGCTGGGGCTGTCTAATCACAGTGGCAAAGAGCCATAGATCGACTGACAAGAAGCTCTTCTCTTAGGCAGTTCCACGGAATTGCTGTCAGTGCTCTTGAAATATAGGCTGCCAGAGCTCCTTTGAGCAGCGCTATTCCCATGATCACTTGGAGGCAAGTATTTATAGCATTCGTTATTTCTTGTTCTGGTATTTTAGTTCTGCCTGCAGACTGATAGCATCTGCCTTAATGGCTCTATGGGAAATTACAGATCTGTTAACCCAAAGTCATGGTAGAAAGCATGATAAAAGCTAGAATTATTACACTCCTACAACAAGATTTGTTGAATATGATGCAAAGAGAGAGGCAGAGTCCTACTTCACAAAACTTTAGAACCAGTGTGGAGTGGTGGAGAACGGGTTGGACTGGGGACCTGGGAGATGGGGGTTCTAGCCCCTGTCCGCCATGAAGCAAAATTGGTGACTTTGGGCCTGTTAGACTCTCTGCCAGAACTACCTCGTAGGGTGGTTGTTGTTATGATAAAATAGAACTATGGAAGCTGCTTCGGGTTCCTCACAGGAGAAAAGTAGGATATAAATGCAATGATAGAATGCTTAGCAGATCTGCAGCTGAAGCAACAGGTATGACGCACTGGTATGCTCAGAGGCTATGTTGCCGTGTCCCTCAACCAAAGCTGTTGAGGCAAATTCAGTGAGCAGTGTTAGGGGTTGGTGCAGTCAAAGACTGCAGTGCTTCTCATTATTCTCACCATCTACCCACTCTGGAACCTGTACATTGGCTGGTGCAAACAGAACTGGGTTTTATTTTCAAAAACCAGTCAGCCATTGCTTTTTTTACCCCTGAATGCTGGATGTCATCAAACACCTGCAATACCTGCCAGGTCTATTTGATCCTCAATCACCTTTTTTGAAACAAAGTCCAAACTGGCTCAGGATTTGGCTTCTTTTTATAAGTCATTGTGCGTTGTGTACCACAAGTGCTGGGGAATGTAAAACTAGCCCAATCTTTTGTAGTGTTTAGGTTTGGTCCTAATAAAAGTATTGCTTAACTGTGGATTTTTAGCGCTGTCCCTAGATTCTGGATTGATTGAAGGAAGCAAAGCGTGGGACTAATTGGACAATTTGCACCATACACAGAAGATAAGGGTGATCCCAAGGATCTGAACTGGTCCCGAGACCATTTATGAATGCATTTAATGCCTGAATAAGGAGAGAGGTCTTCAAGTTCAGATGATACCAAATTATTTTGAATGATACAACCTGAAGGAGATTGCAAGAAGCTCCAACTGAGCTTTCCAAAAAAGGTGAATGAAGCCATAGATGAATGCAGTGATGAGCACTGGGCATACAAAAATTAACTTTATCTATACTTGGGTGGGGTCCTAAATAGCTAGTATTGCATAATGGTTAGTGTTGACCTGGGACTCAGGCAAACCAGGTTCTAGTCTCGGCCCAACCATGACTCTCAGCTTAAGTTACTTTGCAGGGTTGTTGTGAAGATAAAACAGAGAACAGGAAGATCATGTAATAAATATGATGATGATGATGATGATGATGATGATGATGATGATGATGAGGCAATTCAGGGAAAAGTTCAGGGGAGTCAGAATGGATAGGTCACTGAAATCTCTGGATCCAGATCTCCAGTATTCAACCTGATCATTTTGGCCACTATAAGAAGAGATATCTTTCACATAGGTAAAAGTTGTGAATGTTGTTAAAATTCTTGGGTCAGCTTGCTTTCCCAGAAAAGATGCCACTCGGCAATCAAAGAATCAGCACAGGTATCTAACAGCTTGATAGCAGCAATCCCTCCAATAAACACTCAAGGAACCAGGAAATGAGGGGTTACAAATATTCAGACTTTTATTATAAATAAGAAATACTGTTTTATACATAAAACTGCCAAGTGTTGCCTTTTCGTTGATTTTGTTCACTGCTCCCAGACAGCAAGACCACAAGATTTAAGGCAAAAACTGGAGTGGAGGCACAGGCAGAGGTGCTCACGGTTCAGGAAAACGAGGGAAATTCTTCAACAGTTGTTTCCTGTGGCTTCCTGGTTGCATCTTTCTGTGAGCAGCTGTTGCATCGTTTTGTTATGCAAAGAAATAACTTGGACCTATACAAATGCGATAATGGCTGTTAACACAGTATTTAATTAAGAGGATTCTTATAAAGGTCTTTATTCATTCATTTAAAAATAAAAAATCTGTTACTTAAAACCAGGGGGTTTTTTTTAAGGGGAAAATATTAGAAAGGCGGGGAAGAGGCCAGAAGTACACAACTTGGGGTATTGTTCTCTTTTGTTCAGTAGAGAGAAAAAGGTCAGAATGCAGCCCATCTAACTTGTCTTCAGCAGACAAAAACAGTGATGTCAAGAGTCAGGAAAAGGGCCATTTGCCTCGTCTGTATGCAGGCACTCCGGTTTTATGTAAACTGTGAAGAAGCCACTTGGGCAGGAGGGAAATGAAAATCTGGCCACATCTTCTCTCTGGTCCTGGGCTACTGTGGGCTCATACCATATAAAAACTACATCCCCAGTATTCCTTCTTCTTCATACAGTGGTATGGATAGGAAAGCCACAGTTCCGAGTCCATAGACCTGCTACTGGACATAAAATAATGGTCTAGTTCTCACTGAGGTAGCAAGGACCTTCGTGGTAACACTTCAGCTGGCTGCTGATGGAGGCGTTGGTGGGACTGAATCTCCCGTCTTCGCCTCCACACAGAAACTTGGCTCATTGGAGAGAGAGGGAGGGCTTGGAGTAGCCGTTTCCCTTGCAGACTAGCTTTCTACGTGGAGAGTATTTTTGTCCAGGGAGAAACAGGATGGGCCTAGGTACAGGTTCACAACCTCAGTGAAATCTAGGCTGGCGCTACCGTTCCTGATGAGGCGAGCGAGGAGTCCATAGCCATGGATAAAACTCTGAGCTCAAAGGCAACGTCTGCAAACCAGGAACAAAGGGCCAGGCGAGATGATGCTTAGTGCTCAGGATGAACCCGGGACTGAGCTCCAGGTCTTGGGACACTCTCCCACCCTCCAGGTGGGAGTCCACTGGGGGAAACGCCACATTTATTCCAAATGCATCATCTCCCGGCTCTCCAATTTTCTTCTGCTCGTGGTGAAGGAAGCAGGAGGGAAGCACACGCCTCCGAGACCTTCTCTCCATTTGACCTGAGGCGGAATTTCAGGGGGGGGAATGTTGCCTGGAAAGACCCAAAGAAAGTTAGTTTTTCATAAGCTCTGCGACTCCTTTGGGCATCAGTGTTGGCTTTAGAAAAGGAGGCAGGCAACTTGACCCTCGGTTGAAAATGCAGGGCAAGAAGCTTGAAGTTAATACCACAGGATATTATTAGCTACCAGCATGGGACTGCAAAGGGGCAGGTCTGGGCAGAGAAAATACCGGGCTGCCCATACCAACAAGAAATAACAAACTGAAGGAGGACCGGATGCGTGTGGTGTGGTGCTTAAGAGAAAGCTAAGAGGAGAACAGTGTCACTCTGGAAACGAGGCCAAGCGTATTTACAGGGGGCTTGGGTGGGAGAAACAGACTTTTCCTTACACTATAATCATTTTAAAAAAGACAAAAAACACATTCGCACAAAAATATAAATTTGAAATAATTAATAGCACCAGTGTGTGTCAGTTAATAAATTTCTTCCCCTCTACGCAAATGTACGAAGTTGCATAGTGTTTAAGGGTAGGCTGTACAAAGGGTTTCAAAAGGCGGGGAGAGGGTGGAAACAGCAGACTAATTTTAAGGAGGAAACTGGAGGTGGGGAGTTTCCTTTTGCTCGAGAGTAAGTGGGAAAAGGGCTGGAAATGAAGGCTGTGCTGAGAACTATCTTCTCCCTACAAGGCAGCTTAAGCAAAGCAGGAGGGGGAGATTTTGGATAGGGCAGAAATTAATACTGAGCAGACAGCCACTCAGTTTGTAAAATACTGCAAACTCCTGGAATTATTTGTCCCTATAATTTAGCCAATTTTCATGTACTTATTTTTTTTGCCAGAAAATTGGGTAAGTATTACTTGAGAAGTGCCCTCTTCCAGAAAAGAGGGAAACCACAAGAAGATCCAACTTAGAGCAGACTTGCACCGGCCTCACAAGCTGTTGAAAAACAACTCTTCCGAATAAAATTTTGCAGTCTTCAAATTTCACAGGCAAGCCTGGCAAACAAAGCTCTGTCTGGTTGATGGATTTCATTCTTCCGAAAAAGAAGCTTCTACGTGTTGATTTGCTTGAAAGAACAAATTTGTCCATATTAATCCAGCTGCCTTTGGAAAATCTCTCTTTGAGATGGATTCTTCCAGCAACAAGAATTAAAATGTTCTCACAGGCTCAAGACCATGCCTGTGCTATGGACCAGGCTATAGCACCATGGAGACATTAGCACACCATTCTTTCCTCATGATTCCCCAAAACTGTGTCTGAGAAGCCGTCTCTCAGGAACAGGAAATACACGTACATATTGCACTGTAGAAAGGTTTTTAAAAACAGGAAGCTGGCTCCCAAAGTGGGGGTTTGACTAGCCACTCCTCTATGGATGGGGTTGGCTTTTTGCCCTGGTTTTTCTGAAGCCATCAGTGTTTCTAAAAAAGCGCGGCCATCCTAGCTGTTACTAGTTAATACTTCAGTAGCCAAACCTTTTCCTTCATAGAAAAAAAGAGCACAGAATTGGGGTTCGGGAGACACATACAGGAGTGGAGAAGGGGTTCAGGGAAAAGCCTGTGATTTCCACACCTGTCCTCCCACCCCAAACATCAGTTCCCATGGCCATTCCTGCCGTTCCGTACAACAGTCCATAATATTTCACATCATCGCGTAAATGAAAGAGAAGTGTTTTCTGAGAGGGGAAAGAAGGTGGAGTGTTTGAACAACAGCGTGCACAGATTCTATGTATTTAAGTCGTTTCCATGTCCCAGAGGCCGATATTTATTTTGCCTTCCACTGAAAAATGTGTATTCCTACCCCCCACTCCAAACAGGGAAAGAAAGAGCAACTGAGAGCTGTGTGGGAGGTGAGCTGAGGGGGTCCCGAAGGATGGAATCTAGGAATTAAGGCACTCCACAGCCAAAAGAACCGCTCCACCAGTCACTGAGGGAAGGCCCCCTGCTCGAAACACACCCTTAGGGCTTTTCAATGGACGGGGTGTTGAAACAGCCGCTCGGCAAGGTCTTCTTGATGTCTTCTAGATTGCTAATGTCTTTCAAGATGGTGCTAATGTCCCTGTTGTACTCATTAATGGCACTGGCTTGCTTTTTGGCCGCCTTCTCTAGATCAGCCACTTTCCGGTCCAGATCGTTGTCTCTCATCTGCTTTTTGGCCGTATTCAAGGTGTCCTCAATCTCATTCAGTTTGCTCAAGTCCACGGGCTCCACACGACCTGTAGTGAGAGCAACCCGGCACTGTCAGCATCAGTAACCACTACAGAAGTAATTTCTACTTTGTCATGCAGATGCAGGACAGAAAGACACCTGCTTCTCACAGCAAAATTATTGCGCTCACCAGCCCTGCTTATATTTGTAAGAAAATGATAGTTCTTCCTTGCTAATTTGTCTCTAAACTAAAGTGGAAATAATCCCACTTTACTTCAGAGTGTTTGCATTCCATAACAATCAGTTGCATTCCAATTGTGAATTTAAATGCAAAATGGCAGTTGCGTCAAAGCCCATTTCATGACTTCTGAATTTTCCCACATGTCCCAAAAAATGCATTCAACCCAATTCCTAAACTATATACCCGGCTTTCAAATACTGTACACAATCTTTTTACATTGAACGTGCTTGCATTTTACTGCTGAAAGTTTATTAGAAACTTTAATTTCTAAAGTTTATTAGAAAGTTTAATAGAAACTGTGTTTCTAGAGAGATTTCCAGGAATACCTTTCTGATGCATATTGCTATTAAGCGACACCAGTATTTTACGGAATGCTTCACTGGCCGAATGCAACTTTTTTCAGTTCTTTCTACTGAACGTATGAACATGGTTCCGTATTTCTGTGGAATTTTGAACCACAGAGGATACACTGCCATAGAATTGCCTCACTGATCTATCAACACTTCATCTATGTCAGCTTAGGGAATTGTATACCACTGCAGATAGTATTTTAACATGGCGAGTAAGTTCTAGTTTCATTTAATCAATGCTAGTTATTTGTCGAACAGCAGTGGTCTGAAAGAACCAGCAGAGAATTCATTTTAAAAGACAATGTCCATGCAGCCTTTCCCAACCTGATAAGCTCCCAATGGACTACAACTCTCCCATGGTTCATGCTGGCCGTGGCGGATGGGAGTTGATGCGAACAACTTCAAGGGTGTCGAATTAGGGAAGGCGGATAGGCAATACTGAATATACTTGAACATTCAGGACAAGAGGACAGAACTGTTCAGAAATTCACCAGATGAAGGAAAACGTAGGAAGAAGACACATACCTAGCTTATCAAGCAGGTCATTTATCATACTGAGCAAACTGTTAACAGAGTTCTTTGCTTTTCTGGCATTATCTTCTGCTTCCTGAGCTGCTTGTGAAGCCTGTGCAATAAAAAAGCACAATGCGAAGAGACTGTTTAATGGACTGCATGCATGTCACTCCACCTCTGAGGCCGTAGGTTGTTAAAGTAATCGAGTAATGAGCTGTGTGGCTTTAGCATCAGACACAACTCCATTCTACAATGACATTTCCACCGGAAGACAACGGTGAGAGGAAAGGAGAGAGGAAAAAAGGAAGACATTTATTTTTGCTTGTGAATAACAAGCACTCTATCAGTTTTGCAAACATTGATAAAAGGAACATGGTGACTGACAAACTACTCACCCTTTTACATTCTCATGACGATACAAACAGTATGCACTGGATGAGGCTTTCATAAATCTCCAAAATCTTTTTTAGGCAGCCCAAGTTACTCACCATCCCTGCCATCATCATATCTTGATCGGCACTTTCTTGCTTCCTCTTCAGATCTTTCTCCGCTTCTTCCAGCTGACGCAACATGTCGTCCATGTCTTCATCCAGTTTCGCAACAGTAGAAAAGGTCTTGTCAGCCTCGGCCTTTGTCTCAGCGGCATTCTAGGATGGGCAGCAACCAAAGTGTTCGGAAGTGTTAGTGTTTCCCTGCGGTGGCGCCCCACCTATGGAACGCACTCCCCAGAGAGGTCCGCCTGGCGCCGTCGTTATTTGTTTTTCGGTGCCAGGCCAAGACCTTTTGATTGAAAACTTATTTTAATTGTTAAATTATTGAATTAATTAGGATTTTAAAATTTTTAGCCAAGAATGCATCGGGGGTTTTTTAATGTTTTTTTAATTGTTATATTATTATTCTTTATGTATGTTTTTATGTATTCTTTGTGAGCCGCCCTGAGGCTTTGTTGTGGTGGGGGTGGCATAGAAATGTTTTAAATAAATACATACATACATACATACATACATACGTATATACCTGGGCAAAATACAAGCAGCTGATGTAGACATCCAAGCATAGGGGCAGTATGTTCTCTAGGCACACCCAACACCAACACAGGGGGCTGTTTACTTAAGTCACTGAAGACTTGTGTGTATTTGCACTGAACTGGTTCCTTCAAGCCCCTTTCCTCAACTTCACCAGAAATCTCACTTTGAAAACACAGGAACGGACGAGGCTGTTCGCCCCTGGCTTTCTCCAGGCCTGGTGCCTTCCACACAATTTGGACAACAACTTCCAAATTCTTGAGCATTAGCCAGGCTGGCTGGGAATGATGGGACTGGATGTGACGCTGCTCACTAGGTTGATTTCCAGAGACCACACCTGGTAGCAGAGTCCTTCAGTACAGCTTTTGTCGCCACACTATCCTGCCAGTTCCTTGGGCTACACAGGCCGGCTCTATCCATGCTCACGCAGACAGAGGCAAGGAGGATGCACTTTCAAGAGAAGGCTGGCTCAACAAAGAATGCCATTCTCGGGATGGACGGATGGATGGATGGATGGAAGGACGGACAGACGGATGGATGGATGGATGGCAGGTAGGTAGGTAGGGTAAAACCTTGTACATCAGTTCAGACCATTTCAGCTCGCCCAGGATTATCACCTATGACAACTGGCAGAAACTCTCCAAGGCAAGCCTAGCTCTGCTACCCAAGACCTTTTCCCTGGAGATGCCACCTAGAGCAAGATACATTCAAAACATTCCATCTACCAATAGCAACCTTACTCTCTGATCCTTCTGTAATCAAAATGGCACCATTCAAGACATGATGTCTTGGGAGACTTAGAGAAACCCCAAGGTTTGCAGAAGGACAAAAATTTCAGAAAAAGAAGCCCAGGAGAAGACAAGCATGCCCAGCAGCCACAGTAAAGGAGGAGACTTGGTGGGAGGGACACACACTGGAGAATCCCCACTGGCATCCTGAATAGAATTACTCCGTGCGGCAACGTTTTGCTGAGGGTCCCGCTTGAGCATCTCAGGCAGCTGCAGGCATTACTTCACTGAGCCAAAGGGCAAAGCAGCAGGCAGCAACGAACAGGCGACCTAAACACCTTTGGGCTGAGTGTGGCGCCTCCACCTGGGGCTGGGCCAGCTCCCAGGCCAGCCTGTGACACCGTCTCCACCCAACTCCACCTTGCAGCAGGGGGAGCTGGGCAGCAGCCGCACGTACAAAATCCCACTGGGCTGCAGTGGAGGCCTTTCCAGCTGAACCCAGGGCTTTCAGACCCCGCTCTTGATCGGGATGCTTCCCATGACTCACCTTCTTCACAGAATTGGCGATGGTCTCGGCGTCAGAAGCCCTCTTCTTGGCTTCCTTGGCATCGAGAGCGGCACTGCCCAGTGCCAGTTCTGCCTGGCGGGTCTTGTTGTTGGCTTCCAGGATGGTCTGGGTAATAGCAGGGATTTTCCTTAGCGCATCCTCAGCCGCGGTTTTGTTATCATTCACACGCTTATCGAAGTCTGGAAAGACACAAAAGAGCAGCTCCACGGGATCAAACAACAAGCCAGCTACCCCAGCCTCCTGTTTCCAGCAGTGGTCAGTTAATATATTTTTAACCTTTTAATATTATTAACCAACCTAAAGTGCATGAGACTACTCCAGGCTACTCCCGGTCAGCACTTTATGGAACAGGAATGTGTGTGTCTGTATATGCTCAAACAACACAGAGAGAGTGAAAATGCACTAAGAAACTTAAAAAGGGACAGTTATGCAAGTTCTCTGTGAAGGAAAACTATCAATTTTTCAGGCACGTGCAAGAAATTTCCATTTCAAAGCACAGAACTGAGAAAAAACCTATTACTCTATTTATCTAAGTCCCCACCGTCTACCTGGACTGGTCACAGCTTTCTGGCTGAGCCTTTCCGGGGATGCTTTCTTTCACACTGGGGCTTCCAGGGACTGAACTAGAAACCTTCTGGATGCAAAGCATGTATTCTAGCGATGAGCTCCGACCCTCTCCAGAGACCCAAATGGTGCACCGCCACAGAGTCACGGCACACGCAGACCCCAGAAGACACACTTTTCGGGACATGCTTCCCCGCAGCAACACAATGACTCCCACCGACCTCCCGGGGGCTGTGCCGCTTACCTTTCAGATTGTTGAGAATGTCGTTGGCCTCCTTGAGCGTGTTCTTCCCCTTTTCGGCAGCCTCTTCGGCCAGTGCCTTGGCAGCGTCTGCCCGAGCCAAGAGCTGATCGGCCGTCTAGGCGAAGACACAGCAGGCCATCACCGCCACGGCCATGTGCCAGCGCTCAGTCATGCAGCAGCAAGTTTTATTTAATTTTAATTCCTATTTTTTGCATGCGAACGCATTTGTTTTGGACACACCTTTTGTCTGTGCTGTGTCATCCAAAGAATTGCAAGGTGGATATCAGAAAGTCTTCAACAAAACAAATCTAATTTAATGGCATTTCCTTATGATTTCCATCTTAATTCTAGCCTTGGAAGGTACTTCTGAAAAATGCTCGGGCTAGGATTCTGGTCAGCCTGAAGTGGAAGGGAGTTCCATGATTCAGGGTGGCCACTGGGGGGGTTTCCTTCCGTGCCACTGCTCACTTAAATGCACAGAGAGAGCATTTTTGCTGGAACTTAGGCAGCCGTGCCAGAAGCGAAGGGGGGGGGGGTGCTCTCCAAACCAAGGGCCTGTTTGCACATCAAGGTGACAGTCAAGAGTGAATTAACCCAGGGCAGCCTGCACATGAGCTGCTTCTGTCTTCCGCGAACAAGCTTCATGCAGCCTGATCAGAAGCTGTGAGTACTATGTTCAAAGCTAGATGTGTTTAGGGGCTGAGCAACCCAGTGGCTACCAACAAGAAACCTTCATTTTCTGTTGTGATGTGCAAGCAAAGAGTATATTCAACACACACATACACACACACATATCATCCTCATCTCAGCAAAGCCGCTTACAAAGAGAGGCCAGGAAATAATTGCAACATTTATAAAAACAAAATCTAAACATAGTTTAAAGTTCCCCATGACCAGGACCACAAACACCACCAGGAGGTATATTTAAAGGATTAGCAGGGCTTCTTAGGAAGGGGCAAACCCCTAATTTCCTCCGAAACCTGATTCTAAGAGCTGATTTTGTTCTACGTGCAAATACTTATCAGACTTTACACCACTTCCATTTCTTCTGGCTTACTCAGCGACAAGCCGGAGAAAGAAGCAACAGCGGTACTAACCTGCTGTTCAGTCTTGCCTTTCTCCAAAAGGTTTTGCACTTCCAGTTCTTTCCCTTTCATGTCTTCTCTCAGATCCTCATAATCCTTCAGCTTCCGGTTGATCAGCTGATCCAGATCCCTGGCTTCCTTCTTGATTTTATTTGCCTCGTTCTGTGAATGGAGAAATACAAGCTATTGCGAGCACAGCAACTGTGACTTGTTCGTGCCTCTGTGTAGTTTGAGGTGGGCGCAGTCCTAAGCACCTGCTGACAACTGAATCACATCCACTCCTGCTTTATTAAATTTATATCCCACCTTCTTTCCTTTCGAGGAACTCTAGGAGGCTTACTTCCTCCTCCTCCTCCTCCTCCTCCTCTGTCTTATCCTCACAACAACAACCCTGCGAGGCTCACAGTACGCATTAAAGTAAGGCATCAGCAGGAGCACTCAGAAGTAGTAGCAACCAGGAAACGAACTCTTCTTATGCTTCCCCACAATCTCTAGGATGGCAGGAAAAGATGGGCCTTCAGACATGACAGCAACCTTCTCGGTGAGGAGCATGGAACAATGCCATCAATTCCAGTAGCTTTTCAATGTAAAATATCTGATAGTTCTTAAATAATCCAAGTGCTGCTTCTAAGCTTCTGCTTTCAGGCAGGGTGGGGGCCGGAAGGTATCCTGTCAAAACGTTTATTATTGCAAACAAGAAATGTATCTGATTTTACATGTAATTACTGCAATGAGGACTGCATTTGCTTAACACTGGAAAAGTGAAGAACTACCCACTGACGAACTGATCCTAAAAAAGATCTTGGACTGTGCGGAAATGGATAGACTGACTTTATCATTGAAGGAGAAAGAAGATACTGACGTCTATCAAACTTGGGACTCTTTTTATTACTGGCTAGAGAAACGGGACTTTGCATAGATTTAAATATGTTTTTAAGTTATCATAAATGGGAAAAGAAAGGTGTGGGGGCTGACCCAGCAGGCCCGATGTTTTTGATGATTGATGTTGTTTTTAGTTCTTCTTTGCTTTTAGGATTATAATCTCAAATAAAACTTACTATAAAAAATGTTCATTATTGCAAAAAGCATTCGACTATTAAGTCACGAGCTGAAGAACCTGAACCATCAGCTCTGCCCGTATCGCCTTCGTGCTTATGGCGGCCATCCTGCCTGCGCACCCCATGCGAGACGTCCAACACCACCTACCTCCAGAGCCTCAGAATCTATTGTTGGTAGGCTTGTGAGGTTGGCATAGATTTGCAGGGCCTTGTTGCCAGCCTCCTCCGCTTCCATATGGACCTTGTTCGCCTGCCTTTCCAGATCTCGGGAAATGTTCTTAGCTTGGTTATACCTAGGAGACAAGAGCCGTGGACTCAGGTTCCTTCAGGGCACTTTGAGGAAATGTCTTGCAGCCAAGCTCCATCAAGCGCCAAGCAACCCGCTGGGATCGTGGCAAAGCCGACTTGCATTTACGAAAGACCGGCTTTAATCCCTGGCCATTTCCTTTAAAAATGAATATTACACAGCACAGTTAAGCAATGTCTGTGCCTGAGATGGAGGAGAACTAAGGCCAGGTGGAGAAGGCTACTCCACACCGGAAGCAGTGGTTAGACCATACAGGGAGACCCAGCCTGAGTTCTCTTAATGAACGGCTTTAATGAAATGAAGGAACAACCCAGCAGTGGACTGCTGTTGTGAGCAGAGGCTAGGAAATATACTTCTGGCCAGACAACCCCACAGGCGCCCAGTCGGTTCCCCAGCACTGCTTAAAAGACGCTGATTAAAATTCCTAATTGCTTTGGCTTCAATGCTCCTTCGGAAGCATATAAACTCCTCTTTCCTTGCTCTAAGTCAGCCTTGCCCAACCTGGTGCCCTCTAGATTGGCTGGAATAGAACTCCCAGCATCCCCAGGCAGTATGGCTCAGAGATAAGGGGAGTTGCAGTTGAACATGTCTGGAAGGCATCAGGTTGTGGGAAACTGCTCTCTAAGTCAAGTCTCTGAAGCCAAAAACATAGGAAATACAGCCAGTGGGTGCCCAGGCATGGCCTTCTTTGTGCTAGCTCCATAAATGCAAGACAGGACCCTCCAGGATTTCACTTGGAGGCCTTCAGCGCCAAGAAAAAGCTGTTGGATACCGTCCTGAGTGTCTCCTGAATGAAAAAGAAGCTAAGAAATGCAGAGAGAGACAACTCCCATTTTAACTATTTTGCTCATTATGCCCGCTTGGGAAACCAAATCTAAGAGGCACTTAAGTGCATTTGGAAAAATAAGGCAGGACTTCGGGGTATCCGCATTTCTCTCTCCATTTCGCACTCACTTTTTATTAAGGTCGCCGATGTCATGCATTGTTTGGTTCTCCCCCGCCAGCGTGTCCAAGAGCAGCTTATAGGCTTGTGCCGACGTATCGTTAGCTTCTTTAGCGATACGCACGATGTCGTCGGCTTCTTGTTTGTGGCTGGAGCAGGTATCAGGGAAGGAAAACAAAGGGTTAGATACCGTTCCCACTTCCTGGTTTCCTCTCCTAGTAGCATAATCGGAGCTAACGAGAAGCACCATTTTCACAAGAGGAAAACCACGCTGTGGTTCCGCAGTTTCAAACAGTGCTGTCTGAAGTGCCCCGGGCCCGCAGCCAACACAGCCGTGAGTCAAGCCCTGTTTCTGACAAGCAGGCTGCAAAGTAAGGATGGAGCAGCCCTGCACAACCCTCCATGCCTTGGGCTGATTTATGGCCCAGGTTCCAGAAGATCCTGGGTTTCCTGACTGGCATCTCCAGGTGGGGCAGGGAAGCACCTGGCTCGATACGAACCCATGGTCTGACTCTATAAGAGGCACTCCCGTGTTCTGGCTGCCAGAGCGGAGCAAGTGGCAACACGTCCCTGGAGGGGCAGGCAGCCCACGCCAGCCTCTGTGCTCCCACCAGGTTCCTCCTCGGATCCCTCTCCAGGAAGGCCGCAGCACCGTTCATGCCACCAATGCGCCGCCCATGGCCCAAGCCCGGCAGGCCGCTGCCCTCCCACCCACTCGAAAGAGTTAAAGTGGCAAGTCCACTCCACATCTTCCGGAGAGGCATGCCTTTCCCATGAGTCAGGAAGGAAGTGACTAATGCTGCTGAAGAGGGACGGAGTGGGGGAGCACGGGAGAGCAAAGGCGGGGGCTGCTGACACGTGCCAGGGCTATCGGACCAGGACAGAGGAAGAGGACGGGCCGCTGATGAAGTACTTGCTTTGACCGGAGCGCTGGGGCTGCGACCATCGGCAGGGTGCGGATGGGAGACGTGCTCCTGCGTGTCCTCGGGGCCCTTTCTCGCAAGACATTTCTATTTTGTCAAGACCAAATCTGAGAGGGGTCAGCTCGGCAGCCTTGCACTGATGAAAGCTGAACGCTTTCACTCAAGCACGGGGTCACTGTAAATCAGAGATGACTTGACAGCCCGGAGCAACATCCAAAATGCTCTGGGCACGAACCGCAGATGTGATGCATCGCTTAAGAAGGTTTTACGTGTGCTTAATTGATGAGTTTTCTTCCCTTTAGAAGAAACACAGGCGTGACCTGGCCCACTCCCAGCTTGAGCTCACTATGTACTTTAAAGGAAAAGGCTACTCCTCAGATGTGCACACGCATCATCAAAACCCAGAAGATGGAAGTGTGCAGTCTGCATTCTGCATAGTGCGGGAGAGGTAGATATATTTTATAAGTAGCAGCCGTCAGCTATATTCAAAAACCCAAAGCCACAGAGTCAGGTAAGACGAGGGCCGTGCTTTCTGATGGCACCATTACAATCCCCCCCCCCCCCGCCTCTTTTGACTGCCAAAAGAGGGAATTAAGAAGGGGAATTCGGGGGGGGGGGCAGTTTTGAGAACAGAAAAGGGGAAAGAGAGGCAGGGAGCCGTTCCTGCCCAGGGAAGACAAGGGGTTGACGGTGGCGGCTCCACGGAGGAGGCAAAGCAACAAACAGGAGCGTGAGTGCGTGACTGAAGATGTCCTGGAAGGGGAAAAGAGGCAGCGGCATTGCAGGGGATGCCGTGTGAGGCGAGGCTGAGGGAGCTGGGCCTCTGCAGCCTGGAGAAGACGAGACTCCGAGGGGATCTGCTGGCGACATGCAGGTACGCAAGGGGGTCTCACACAGAGGTGGGCAGAGACCTGTTCTCCCCTGCAGAGGAGGGCAGGACGTGCTCCAATGGAGCAATGCTCAGGGAGCCAAGTTTCCATTTGGATGCCAGGAAGCACTTCCTGACAGTCAGGACCCCGAGGGCATGGAATGGGCTTCCATGGGAGGTGGCTGAGGCCCCATCGGTGCGGGTGTTCAAGGATAGGCTGGGCGTCCACATGGTGGGCATGTCGTGAGCGGAGCCGGCTGGAGCTGGGGGTCAGATTAGATGGCCCGGGAGACCCCTTCTGACTCTCCCTGTTTCTGTGTTTTCTTCCCCGTGTTCAGGAGGGCCGTTCCTGGGCTCAGGGCCAGTGTCAAAGGTGGGTATCGTTGGGCGGCCGCTAGGAGGCCTCTGGCCCTGCTCCTCCCCCTCCCCACAACCCGCTTGTTCTCCAGGATCGTGTTCAGACCCAGACACCGGCGCAGGTGGGGAGGAGACCCCGCAGCTGCCACTGCCGGCTGACTCACGGGCTGTCTCTCGTCGAGCGACACACAGCCCCGTGAGGGGCAGCGAGGAGTGGCAGCAGCTGGCGCCGCTTGCGAGGAGCAGGCAGGCTCAACACGGACCAGCCAAACCCCGGCCAGGCGCCAGGCCCAGCAGCCTCCACGTCACCGTCAGCAGGACTCACCGTGCAGCCAGCTGACGGGCCTCTTCGGCCAGCAGGGTCATGTTGTTCGGGTCGCTGGTCGACTCTGGAGGAGTGATGGACTAAAGGAGGAACCAAAGACACTTTCAGGAAGGTGCCCGCGTCAGCTTAGGCTAACCGTCGCTTCTGATTTGTACATTCGGCAGCGGAAGTGCAGCTTGGAGCAGGGGGCCACTCAAAGAGGGCATCTCCTCACCAGCAGCCCAGCTCCCCTTGGAAGCTGCAGGCACGGAGACCCTCCCTTCATGCTGTCCTCCAGCTACTGCCTCGTGCAATAAATTGTACTCAGTAAGATGGAGGAAGGAGCAGGAAAGGCATGATGGGAGGCTCCCCCGCCCCGTCCTCCCCAAGTGCTGGTTTGCAAGACGGGCAGAGGTGTGTGTGCAAAACAAGCTGCCCCCATCCCAGCAGCACTCTGGGGCAGGATTTCTTCCTGGCTTTCCATGCACAGCTCGCCCACAAAGCAGGACTGCAAAAAATCCAGCTGCGTATCAGAATTAAGCTAGAGTACTCCAAGTGTTGCTTCGTACAGAATTGTTTCGAGCACCAAGCAGGAACTCGGAGGATGATGGAACGGGTAAAAAACAATGAGCTCCTTTTCCAAACCACCACATGTCCCTGCTCCCACTAAACTGAGTATTTTTATAAAACGCATGGCTTCCAAATTCAAGTCTGTTCTTACGTGGTGTTAAAAGCACACTGTCAGGCTGGGCAAAGGACGTTGAGCAGAGGAAAAGTGACATTCAAGCCCAAGAGATTCAAGCATGTGTACTTAGATGCAAGCGTCAGGGACTTCAAAGAAGTGTGCTGCAGAGTTAAATTAATACAAGAGTGCCGCTTTCACTAGCTGGCTGCAAGAGAGAACTGCCTGTCCCCAGTGCTGGTTTTCTTAAAACCTGCATGAGGCCACCAAAACCTTCACTCAGAAAATCTACATTCTTTAATTTGTGCAAGTTAGGTACATGGTCTCTCTTACTTTGCAATGTTTATCCCACTTTTTTGTACTTTCATATACATTTATTTTGCTTCCCAAATTGTTTTGGAACTCTTACTCATCAGTCTCATGTCACCAATGTTATTAGTCATTTCTGATAAACTTCCAAATGCAATTTCACAATCACTATGGCTAAAAGTGTGTTTTCAGCAGAGAAAAGAAGGGAGAACAGCAACATTCATTAACAGGTGGGAACAACTGCAGCACATCCACAGCCCTGACGACTGAGGTGCAAGCTGTGAAGCTTTAATGAAGAAGACAGTAACCGCTCACCACATTGGCCACAGCCACCCTCGCTCTCCGCAGCATATCCGAGGCCTCATCAATCAGCTGCTGTGTGTTGTCCACGCGGTCTTGGGCCCGCTTCGCAAGGTCGTCTGTCTCTTCCACAGTGTTCTGGATGTTCCTCAACCGGCCAAGTTGGCTAGACAGTGTTCTGTTGATCTCCTGAAGGCGATCCATCAAGCTCTGATCTTCATCTGGAAGAAGCAAAGTGACAAGCTCAGTCCGGACTCGTTGCACAGGCGGGCCTGGACAAGAATGAAGTATTTGTTCGTGCTCATTGATAGCTGTACATATTACAGAAATGTGAATGTGAACAAGGAAAAGAGACTCCAAGATTCTGCTGGGGTGTAGGTGGCTGTCAGAGCTTATGGCAAGGGCTCAGATGGGCACAGTGTTTTGCATACAAACTTCACAATGCGCACTTCTATTGGGACCAACCATAGCTAAGCAGAATGCTTAAATCAAGATTTCTGTAAGTTCATCCTCCGATCTTGCCTCTTCTGTGAAACCTTTGACTTTTCTCATCCCTACCTAAACAAAATATACCTCCACACATCCGTTCCTTCCTACACTTTTCCTTCTCTTGCTGTCCCCCTCGCTTTCCAAGTTTTTTATTTAATATTTCTTCAGGCAAGAATATGAGTTCTGTTGGCACTCAGGATAATCTATAAAGCACCAGCAGGGTAACCAATTGTGGGTAACCATTGTACGGCTTCTTTCTATGGAACACAGGGTCTCGATTTTTAAAAATCCTACACACCAAAGAACACTTATTCCAAGCTGTGAAGTGTTTCTGCAGTTCCTACGGATTGTATCACTGCAGTGGTACCTTTGGAAAATTCAGGGGATTTTCTGCACTATGCACACAAGGAAAAAACTATCTGCCTATTTGATATCTTTGGCATCAAGCCTAGAGATTTTAATTTGGTGTCTGCATATACTTCCATTCTTCTCCTCCAATTGTTCTTGCAATGCTACTTTCAAGCATCTCATTTCTTCCATGGCATATTATGGGCTAATAAAGGATGCAGAGACCTTCTGGGACAAAATGAGCACCCAGAGAAGGAGTCTGTTCACTGGGCACCCACCTACCTTTGATGCTTTGCGCTTCCCGAAGCAAGTCCATGACTTCTCTCTCGGCTTCTTTCAGCCGGTCTTCGAAAGCCTGATCAGTTATAGTTTCATCACCTGTTCCTAGGTTGGCTATAAGATTTTCCAGCTCCTTCAATTTCTCCCGTTGTTCTGCCACCTAAACAAAGAGCAGAAGGAAGGGCTCAGGAAACAACTTCCTGCCTGAGGGCTGCAGAAGGGAATCAAGTGTCAAGCATCTAAGATTGCAGGAGGAATCACTTACCATATTTCCCTGAAAATAAGACTGGGTCTTATTGTATATTCAAAGATAGGCTGGACATGCACATGGTGGGCATGTCGTGAGAGGAGCCGGCTAGTGCTGGAGGTCAGACTAGATGGCCCAGGAGACCCCTTCTGACTCGCCCTGTTTCTGTGTTTCTATATTAATTTTTGCTCCAAAAGACACATTAGGGCTTATTTTCAGGTGATGCCTTATTTTTTCATGTACAACAATCTACATTTATTCATGTACAAAAATCTACATTTATTCAAATACAGTCCTGTCATCTTCTTCTGGAACATCGTCATAACTCTCCAAACCCTGGATTGTGTTGCAATGGACATACTAAATGCATCCGTCTGGCTGATGATCTTAACTGGGGCTTTTTTGGGGGGTAGGGCTTATATTACGAGCATCCTGGAAAATCATGCTAGGGCTTATTTCCCGGTTAGGTCTTATTTTTGGGGAAACAGGGTGGACCCCATATTTAAGTCTTTCTCTATACCTAGGTAAGGGCGTGCAAAGTAGGGTTCCAGAGAGCTCAACATCCGTTGCCTTTCGCTTTCTTATCAAGCTGAAAGATGTCTGAACTTGCATATTTCTAGTACTTGCGCTTTTGGTGAAAAGTCTCAAATTACCTTGATGGTTTCATCAAAGATGTATAGAAATTCTGCTGCCTGAGAGACATCAATGGCAAGTAGGCAGAAGGTAATATTTGGTACAGCTACCCGCGCTTCGCCATAGCCTCGCCCTCCAAATTGCTCTTCCCTGCCATGAGCTCCAACCCTTCTTCCCAAGTCTTCCACAAACATAATCAAATTCTAAAATCATAGCCCAGCCTGTGACTCATTTTGCAGCTGTGCAGATACAGATGATTTCCAAACGCTATCCCAGGATAGTAGCTAAGAGCCCTCAGTTCAAATCTCAAAACTGACATGAACTCAGTAGGCAGACCACGTGTGCAATTGCCAACCTGAGTTTGCGAAAATCATAGTCGATTGCAATATAAAAGCAACGCTTTATAAACGATGTCAATGCTTTCCAGGAAGACTCAACAACAACACTGCCAATCTAGGGCTAGCCTTGTGAATGCATAGACCCTGCTACACAGAGCTCTGCTTTCTGGAGCTTCCCACGGCCTTCACTTTGGAAAGCTAATCATAGTTTCATGGTAAAACCGAGAGCCAAAGACGAGCCATGTGGAATCAGAGCAAAGCCTTCAGCTGGCTCAACAGGAAGCCCAGATGCAGGATGCAAGCACATCAATGCACAAGCACAACCTGGCTGGGAATCCTTGGCAACAGATATTGAAAGATGTGCAGTGTGGATGTTGGAGGAAACCGCAATGGGTGCAAACTAAGTTCCCTCTTAACCATAATGTGCAAACCCTGGTTTTCATCTCTAGATGAAGTAGAGATTTGCTATAGTGTAAATGTAATGCAAAGCTATCAATGACGAGAAGAGAAAGGAAGGTCAAGGTTGCTCTGGAGGATTTGCTGGGTGGAACAGCAGACTTCCCAATCTCAGACCTAAACTTGCAAAAGCTACGTGGTCGAGAGTTGCATCAGATCAGTGCTGGATAAAGTCACAAATATGAAGAAGAAGAAGAATATAAGCAACCAGGGCTTTTTTTTGTCATAGAACGCACTGAAATGGCGTTCCGGCACCCTTTTTTGATGGATTTTTCCAAGTGATTGTGAATCGCCCTGTTGGGCGTAGCAGGTCGGCGGCAAAACTCATTAGCATAGTGCCTGCAGGCTGCTTGTGTGTCAGCGCTGGTTGTGAGGGCGCTGCTCGGCTCAGGACGCTGCTCGGCTTGGGATCGGTCGTGTGGTCGCGCGCTGAGTGCTTACTGCTGGCGGCGACCATTAAGTTTAGGTGTGTGTAGAGTGACAGTTCCGGCACCTTTTTTTTTTCCCAAAAAAAGCACTGTAAGCAACTAAAAACAAGAGTTTTAAAGTTTAGTTTTAAAGATCGTGTCAAGCAGCACTCTATAACCAACATACACACAGTCGAGATTCTAGTTAAAATTCTGAGATGCATTAAAGAAAAACTGACGGCGAATGAGGTGGGCCCTGTTGGGCCACCGTGCACATTTATGGAAATTTGGAGGTTGGGGACTGATGCTTGTGGGACGAAGTTGGGGGCAGTAACCGAGCACACAGCTCCGTATCCCCTGGCCTGTTTTGTGTCTCAGCACCCCACCCACCCTGCCCCCCACAGAGGATTTCTCCGCTTACTGACACAGACAAGGTCCTAACACCCAAGTTTATCTGACCTGATCTTTCACCAGTCTGTAACACGCAGGACACTCCTGGCATCCTGGCCAGGACCGGTTGTAGAAATAGTTCTCCTCACACTGGTCGCAGCGGTTACCCACAAAGCCTTCTTTACACTCGCAACGGCCGTCTTCTTTGCACTGGAGAGAGCGAGAGCCTTCTGGGTCACAGTCACAAGCTGAGGGAAAGCAAGGAAGAAGGATAAAGACAGGGAAGGGGAGAATGAGACAGGGCACCTGGATGGGTCTTTTCCAGAACAAACAGAAACAGAGAATTCTTGCTGCTCATTACACAGAGTGCCTTGGGGAATGTCAATACCCATGAAACCCTAACCCTTGAAGGATATTAGGAGGGTGACTACCCGGAGAAGGTCTTCTCTGTGGTGGCACCCTGGCTGTGGAATACGCTCCCCAAAGAGGTTTGCCTGGTGCTGTCACTTTATTCTTATCGGTGCTGGGCTAAAAAAAACCTTTTCATTTGTATTTTCCCAATGTTTTTAAGTTTGACTGTTTTTAATATGGGTTCTATTGTTGATTGGTTAAGAATTTGACTAGGATGCTGTGTTTTATTCTATTTTGTCTTATTATTAAACTGTCCTGAGACTACGGTAAAGGATGGTCTAAGAAAGTTAAAAATAAAAAAATAAAAAGCATCTTTCAAGTGTCATGTGATTAACAGTTGTTGGTCTCTAAAAGCACAGAGAATTTTTAGCCTGCTCTGAAGCCTTTGAGGTGAAAATTGTTGCTAGCTGTTTGTTTGTTAGTTTATACATGTATTTATACATGCCAAGGCCTTTCTAAATGGCATACCACTGAAACGGAATGTGGTATGTACATGGAAGTGTGAAAATAACCTGGGAAAGAGCCTTGACGTAATAGGCAGAACCCAGTGACAGCAATGGAACTTCTCACGAGTACATTTGTATAGTTCTGTCTTTTTGCAAATCCTCAACCCAGCATCTTTCCATAACGATCTTTGCTGCAAAGGCGAAAGAGGACCCATCTCCGCTGATGCAATCTGCACCATTTCTGGGGGCTAGCCATGCTTCTTGTGGGGAAACACAATCAGGTCTTTTGTAGCCCCCCGTCGACTAACAAATAATAGCATGGTATACACTTTTGTGGACACTGCCTCCTTCATCAGAGGCAATGAATATGGTATTGTTTCAGACGGAAGCACAGCTTCTTGGCTGACATCCTCAAGAAAGCCTGGGGTGAAAGTGAGAAATCAGACTTTCAGATTGCTGCTGTTCATGTCTCTAAACACAGCATCTGTGAGAACAGAGATGCGAACAAAAACCCTGCGTGTGGATTACTGCCCTACATGGGTCCAAATACAGAGGCATACATATTCGTGCGTTCATCCCAGGTCTTCACAGAGATAAACGCTATCGAAAGGTTGCACTAATGATATTTCAAAGGGAAGTTCACTATGCCGTTTTGTATGTAATGCCTATGAAAAAAATCATGAATGAGATCTGTCTAGTTTTTTCTCTAAGATTTTTTTTAGGAAAGACGAGTAAGGAAAATCCCATATTTGACATGTATTTTGCCATAAAGATATGAGGATGCAAACTTACAAATCATTCTGTTGACCCCACTGAGCCTCTCCTACTTTACCTGGACTGTGTGAGGGAATCCCTCTTTGTGATTTCCAAATTTATATATGCCTGCGATTTAACACCTTCAGTATGCAGCTGCTAGCCAGAAATTCAAGCAGCACCCTGGCAGCAAACACTGTTACTCATCACGGGAGAGGCACCTTCTTGCAAAGGTGATGAAGAAGCAAACATGAACCTGGACTGTCTGACTTCAGACTTGAAGGTGAGGGTTAAAACCCTTCACTCTGTTATTTAGCACCGAGGTTCATGGTTTTAAGCATTTGGAGGCACCTTCAATTACACAAGTCCCAACCTGCATGATTACGCAGGATAATCCAAATTCAGGCTTGCTACTTCTTCATCTGCAGTTCGAGTCCAAAAAGGAGATCCGAGGGCGGCTTCTCATGTCACATTTTAAGCAGGTGAGGCCATGCCTATGTTTAAGTGTATCATATTCAGAATGTCATGCGATGGGGAAAAGCTTAACTTGCCCTCATTAATTCCTCTTCTTCTAGGCATACTCAGCCTTCAACTAATCCTTGCGAATGCTCTTTGGCCCATGCGCGGCCGGCTTGCGAGTCACGCTCTGCAGACTGGAAGCCAACCTCACGAGCACACGCTCCTTGGCCCTCCCTTCCCACAGGCAACCGCTGTCCACACCATCACCAACTATGGTGCCCAAGCACATGTCAAACAGTGGTTGCGAGCTTCCATTTGGACACTTGTAATGGTGTACGAACAATACAGAACTGGACAAATGCTTGAAAGAGAAGACTACCTTGGAGAAGGAAGAAGAAAACGCACTGGAAGGTGGCTCGTAAGGCGCAAACTCCTCATTTGCAAGGAGTCGGCACTCCACTGGATCGCTCTACCCATAACTATCCACCCATGAGTAAAGCTTCGTTTGTTCTTGAAATATTAGGGAAACAGATGGGAGGATTTAGATAAATAGGAATGTATGTCCCAATTTTACACACTTTGCGTGTTCTCAAGCTTGAGTTAGCAGCTAAAGGCCACATTCCAGAGAAGAGGCGTAGGAGTCTAACAGCCAGAAAACAGGTCAGTTCTGGGACAAAATTCAGAGCGTTTATGACAGGGAGTAGCAGATGGTCTACAAGTGTATGCAATCGCAATGCCCTAGAGGGGAAAAGTAAGACTCGGACAACTGCAAAAACATCCTCATTGGACTTGAAACTCACACAACATGCAGGGAACAGTCAAGGGGGGGAGAGCGGCCTCTTGTAATGAGAAGCCCATAAATACGCTGAAGTGAGCAAGCAAGTGAGCAAGCAAGCAGATGTTCAATACAGAGGAGCAGGGGCAGTCCACACGTAGAAGAGGGCATGATGGGACAGGAAAGCCATGTTCCCACTCCCCCTTACGTTTGCAGCCTTCAGGGCCAAATCCAAAATGGTTGGCTTCACACCTCTCGCAACGCTGGCCGGTGATGCCTGGCTGGCACTCGCACTGCCCAGTCCGCACGTCGCAGTGGCCATTAGTGGAACCCAGTGGATGGCAGTCACACCTGGAGGAGGAACAGGAACCGTGTGCATAGAGCGTCAGTGCCTATTCGGATGGCAAGACCACAGCGCTGGTTCTCGGTTCCCTTCTCTAGCTCAGTGCAAAGGGAGACGAGCCAGAGTTGCGTGTTCACGTCTCATGATAAACGTATCTGTGGTTTGTTGAGCAGCTCCCACAGAAAAAAGAAAATGGAATCTGGACTCACTGGCTTGGCCAGATTGACCATTCCACCTCCTTTCCTCAAACCTGATGACCTCAAGAACACAGTCTCTAGCCTATTAGTGGAGGAACAATGACGTAGAATCACAGAACAGTAAAGTTGGAAGGGGCCATGAAGGCCATCGAATCCAACACCCTTGGTGTTGCAGGACACCAAGTCACACCATCCCACTCAGAGGGCTGCCCAATTTCACTTTGAATGTCTCCAGCTGGGAGAGCCCCCCACCTCTCCAGGCAGCTGGTTCCACTGTCGTGTTGCTCTGACCGTGAGGAAGCTTTTCCTGACATCCAGCCTGAATCTGGGTTGTCGCAGCTTGACTTGATTATTCCGTGTCCTGCACTCTGGCATCAGCAAGAAGAGATCTTGACCTTCCTCTTTGGGACAGCCTTGGAGGCACTTATACAGGGATACCATGTCCCCCCTCAGTCTTCTCTCCTCAAGGCTGAACATGCCCAGTTCTCTCCGTCTCTCCTCACAGGGCAGTGCTTCCAAACCCTGGATCATTTTTGTTGCCCTCCGCTGGAGCCTTTCTAATTTCCCTGCATCTTTCTTAAATCTTGGTGCCCAGAACTGGACACAGTATTCCTGGTGAGGTCTGACTAATGAGGAATAGAGAGGAACTACTATTTCTCATGATTTGGAAGTAATACATGTATTCTGAAACTGTAGAAAGAGAACATCCATTATCCAATCTACTGAACCATCTTAGTCCTTAAGGCGTCTTATAGAAATTGAACATAAAGTCTCAGACAAGGCAAGCTTTTGAGGTCTCCAGAACTTTTCATCAGGCCAAGTTCAGAGCAGACCATCTTCTGGGTCTGTGACCACATTTGGAGAAGCTGTCCTAGTTACCACTGCAAGAGGCATGGCAAAGGAGAAGCAACTTGCCCAAATGCTGAGCACAAGAGGTGGATTCTGTACCTCAACACAGTAAAAAAAAGGTGCATTAGAACCCGGTTTTCAGCAGTCAGAGAGATCTACTTCGCAGCAATCCCAACTGTTGGTAATAAATTGCATCAGCCAATCAATCAATCAATCAGGGATTTGAAGGGAGAGATGCCTCCATGGGGCTATTCCGGGATTTTAGGCATCAAGGACAGCCAGGGAGAATTGGGGGCAGAGTTTCTGTGGATGTGGCTCTCCTTGAAACTCCATGTGCAAATATGAAGACTGGCTTTACCAAAGCCAACAGCACATCCACTTCCCGGACCATCTGCTTCGACTGCGACTGCCTCCCCCGAGAGTCCGTGTGCCCATTTCAGAGCAGTGGGACCAGCTTACCTTTCACAGCCACGTCCACTATGCATGTTGTAGAAGCCTGGCTCGCAGGAGCTGCAGTCCCTCTCCATGACATGTGAGAGACATTCACACTGCCCTGTTACTTGGTTGCAGCTTGTCTGTAGGTTCATTGTGCCATACGGATTACAATTGCAAGCTGCAAGAGCAAAAGCACACACAGGGCATGCGTTTTTTTAATAAGCAAGGATTTAGAGCAAGCCTTTGGATCGGGGATGCCCAAGTGCACTGCCCTTCCCATCTCCACACTTCTCCATCCTTCTGGAGTTAGAAGTGTCACGTCCCTGTTAATGTAAAGGGTCTCCAGCCATGGAAATGCACAAGTTCTAGCTCGCACTGCAGCCTTTTTATTATTAAAATACATATGTACACATTGCAGTGGTTCACTGAAACATCTCTTCTGCGCAAATTCAAGACAAAAGGTTGTATGAGAGCCAAAACCTCCTGCTGCTTCTCCATTCTTAGTGTACCAGCAAAGAATAGAGAAGGCCACAAACTTCAGGAAACATCTCTGGTTTGGCCAGTTCATCTCCATCCACGAGAAGAGTGAAGACCGCACCGTGCGGAGCCAATGAAACAATCATGCTTCTACACAGGTCTTGCTCTGGAGAATTGAGGGAGGTTGGAGACACGGGGAGAACACGAAGCATTTCTGCCTCTTCATCAAATGTCCTATGTGAACCGCTTCTGTGAAGCCGCGTCTTCCCCAGGGATCACATCCCTAAGGATCCACAGCCCATTCAAAGTCGCGAGATCTTGGCTTTAATGCCGGAAAACACACCCAGAAACCCCTGTCCAGCTGCTGCACAGGTGGGAGAAAGGACAGCTGTAGGGATCAAGCGTCTCCTAGGCCACTCCTTGGCCAAGACCTTTGTCTGGAAAAGACAGCTCGTCTACTGGGGGCGAAGGGGTCGGATTCTGCACCACAGAAGGAACTCACCTCTGCACTTGTCCTCCGGATTCTGAGCTAAGGGATTGCCAAAGAATCCATCTTTGCACCGGTCACAGTAAAACCCAGCTGTGTTATAGATGCACTTCAGGCACTCGCCCGTCAAGCGGTTGCAGTTGCCCACGGCGTTGGGGTCGATGTTGTCGCTGCACTGGCAGAGGCGGCACAGCCTGGCAGGACCGCTCGTGCCCTGGGGGTCCCCGAAGTAGCCATCATCGCACAGCTCACACCGTTTACCTGCAAGCGCAGCGTATACCATACACAAGGGTCAGAACGTGAGGAGGCTTCTTTGAAAATACAGAAAATAGAACAATGAGGGCTTTGCACAGTCATAACACTAAAGATGAGATAAAAGGACATAAATACTCTAATCCACACAAAGAACGTGAACACCCTAATCCACACAAAGGCAAATGTTAGAAATGGGACTTGCATTTATCTCTCCTAACCTGAACTCAAAAGCTGGGTGCCAGCTGGATTGTAGCCAAAATGCTACCAGCGAGAAATTAGTCCGTTATAAGCCTGCTCTGCAAACTTACAGGTTTCCAGAAATACTTTTTTTTTTAATTAAGGGAACAAGACCATCCCCTGCAAGAAAATTCCAGCCAAATTCGGGGTGGCCATGCTCAGTACCCACAGCATGTAGAGTTGCCTTGGATACAGATGCACGAGAAATTAATTGCATTTAGTTTTTGCAATGCAAAAACGGGCAATGCATTAACGGACAATGCCAACCGCAGCCCAAGTCCACAGAAGTATTTGCAATACCGATATCATGCTGAATTAATGCCGTTGTGGGCAAGGCACCCCCTGGCCACTAGAATGTCCAGAGGGCTACAGGAGCGCTTGCAGTCCCAATTCTGGCCTCAGGCTTGGGGATCAGCACTTACGGTGCTCCCCCTCCTTGTTGCGGCCACCCCAAAAATAAAGACCTCCACCAACAGGGTAGAGACCTGTTCTCCCCTGCGGAGGAAGGCAGGACATGCTCCAACGGAGCAAAGCTCAGGGAGCCAAGGTTCCGTTTGGATGCCAGGAAGCACTTCCTGACAGTCGGGACCCCGAGGGTGTGAAATGGGCTTCCACGGGAGGTGGCTGAGGCCCCATCGGTGCGGGTGTTCAAGGATAGGCTGGACGTCCACATGGCGGGCATGTCGTGAGCGGAGCCAGCTGGGGCCGGGGGTCAGACTAGATGGCCCGGGAGGGGCATCCTAGGCCATCCATCACTCTGTTTCTATCGGATGGATCCTGGCACCACCTGAGCTGCCGCTCCCCCTGCGGTGAAGGACCGCAGCTTTCGCCAGCTGAGCTTGGCCTTCTAGCAGACTGGCGTGGCAGGCGAAACCACGAGGTTGTCCTCCCTGTCACACTCTTCCCACCCTGCATTAGGTGCCCACAATTCTTTGGGTGTGGAAGTTCACAGGCACTGCATTCACCTGCAGCCTAAGCTGGCCACCGCCGATACCCTCCATGGACAGGACGCCAAGCAAGCACAAGGTGGAGGGAACTTTGCCCACTGGGAGGTATAACAATGAAATAAACAAACATTTGAAAATTTGGCTACATACTTCTGAAAAATGTGCACAAGCACTTTGATCTGTGGGAGAAAATGTGTACAACTGATGAATCCTTTTGGGAAAAATGTGCGCAAAGTATGAATTTTGTGTGTGGAATAAAACAAAGCTTGCAATCAGATACAGGCATAAGCTGGAATGCTTCCAGATGGAATTCAGAGAACCTCAACGAGTTTTGATTATTTGCACACCCAAGGTTTGAGAATATGAACTTGTGTGTTGCATGCTCAGGTCCAATTCTCTAAACATTGTATCATGCTCTTTGAATGACACACACATTTATTAAAATGTATTAACCAAAAATCACCAAAAACAAACTACTACAGCAAGGCTGCTCCCAGCAGGCTTTCAATGTAGTTAAAACATAGAGAACAAAAGAAATAAAAAAGAAGGAAACCTGGGAAGGGACAGAAGAAAAATCTGATGAGTGTATTATTCAAAAGGAAATTAAATTAAGCGTATGTTAACATTTAGAGGTTTCCTTTAAAAACTGCTTTTATTGATAATTTTCGTACATTGTGGAAAAGAATATTCAGCAGGGGACTGATATCAGAAAAGTGGATTCAAATGACTTAAGAAAAAGTACACAGTGCTGCGTATGTCTTCTAAAAATGAGAAAGGGTCTGAATTAAGCAGATGGTATATTTATCTCCAAGATGAGTGACTGAAATGGGAAAAGGATTAAAATCAGAAACAGAAGGATGGATGTCATTTGATGGACGGAAAATCAAAAGTCTAGATGAGCAAAGAGAAAAAAGAGTTGAAAAGTGAAGCATCATTTAATATAATGAACTTCAGCGGAATAAAAAGGAACAGGACAACAATATTAAGAGCATAAAGCCTTGACCAAATATGTAGCCCATGGGGCAGCGGGGATGCGATCAGATAAAGTTACTGTAAAACAGGAAAAGCATGGCTTGAAAGTCAACACTGAGGATGGCATCTGGTTCAGAAACCGGGGTCCGGATGAACCAAAACATGCCAGGGTTAAGTATCATGTCTGCATCTGGAAGGGCCCGTTAGGCCAAAGGATTATTTTTCTTTCCGGCTTAGTACTTGCCCTGGCAGGCAATGCACTTCAGGAACGACTTGATGAAATGCTCGTTAAGAGATGTTATGTCTCAAAAAGGCAGGGGAACTGCCTCATCTTCTCCACAAAACATCCACCCAGTCCGATTCGAGGGTTGCCACATTCTAAACCCTACATTATCTGAACGGTTTACGTACTGTAATTGCCACCCTTCCGAAAGGTTAGCAAAGCAAAGCGAATAACAGGAATTCACGTCTGCCCCACGGTTATACAGACTGATAAGCAGTACCAAGGAACGCCGACACGCATGCCTTGGCAAAGGCGTCATTCAGAAACACAGGGTGAAATGCCCACCGGCCTGACTTCCACCGCTCCATCACGCTGGCTGCTGCACACAGACAACCAACTTGCGCAATGATTTGGACTGCGGCGTGAATCATTAAGAAGGGCAAACCCCGTTCCGCTCTTGGAAGCCAGTTCAGAACGGACTGGCGAGCCACAGAGGCCGGAAGCAGCAAGACTGCGAGTCGAGCGACGCTTCGTGGGCTAAGGAGCCACGGGGCAGACAGGAGAAGGCTCCATTTCTGGTGCACTTTTTTGTGCTTCCCAGATCTTTAAAAGATCTTATGGTTCCCAGCTCTCACGTAAACGGGATGCAAGGCCAATTACCCATTCGACGGATATTCAAGGCACTTAAACCAGAATCCACCATTGTCTGCACTTGTCATTGTACAAGTGTGCCTTCTTGTATAACTTCTTCAGAGGGATCCTGGGCAAGATGGGAGCAGGCCGATAGCCGTAATAATGGTTCAATCATATACGCTGAGCATCTAAGGGATGTCTGACAGACCCGTCTAAAGCCCTGATATTCAAGCTTTTAGCCCATATGATAGTATTTTCTTTTCTCCCCAGATCTGGCAGGTGAATACGCATTTCCAGTTACAATTATTGCTGCTGCTGTTGTTGCATTACATTTCTATATTGTCCGTAGCCAAAGCTCTCCGGGCAGTTCAGGACACTGAAGTCCCCCATCCAGAATTCCACCAGGCCTGACCCTGCTCAGCTTCCACAGTTAGGCAGAATCAGGCATTTGGGCTATGAGCTGCACTCTACGATTATGCATGAACCCTGGAAAGGGGCCAACACTTCCACTCACAGCCATGCTTCCCCTCCCCACTTGCACGACGGAGACCCATGATGAAGGAAGCCTGCAAAATCCTGCGCTTGAGATGCTTGAAAAAAGGGTCCATCCACTCTTGCCCCTGCTCCCTGGCCATGCAGCCCAACCAGCCTCAGGCCAGTGGGCCATGGCTGTGCATCATGGGAACTCAGAATCATAGGAGAGTAGAGTCGGAAGGGGCCATGAAGGCCATCGGGTCCACCCCTGCAGTTGCAGGACACCACGTCGCACCATCCCACTCAGAGGGCTGTCCTGTTTCTTTTGCATGTCTCCAGTGTGGGAGAGCCCACCGCCTCTCCGGGCAGCTGGTTCTTCCGCCATCTTGCTCGAACAGCGAGGAAGCTCTTCCGGTGAGGAAGCTCACCTGTGGTACCAGCTGGACAACTGGTGCAGACCACCTCCTTGGTTTTCGGTACTACGGCGCAGGCCGAGCCCCCTGGGCATGGGCAAGGCTGGCAATCAGAAGAGGTCCCCGTGGTGGCATCCCCGTAATAGCCGTCACTGCACTTCTCGCAGTGGGGACCGGCCGTGTTGTCCCTGCAGTCGCAGGCTCCTGCATGAGGTGGGGAGAAGAGAAGGAGGTTGATTCCCAGCTGGCCCACGGACTCAGCAAATGGCCATGTGCAGAAACACGATAGGCGTGTGGCGCAGGTCAGGGCTGGAAAAGAGTGCTTTGTGCATTTGGCCTACCTGCATACAATTCTGCTTTTAGGGCACGTTAAATATTTGCATTGCCTTCGGGTGCAATTCTGTTTCTGTGCAGACAGAAGGAAGTCCTACAACTCCCAGCATGCCCCAGCCAACGTGAGGCATGCTGGGAATTGTAGGACTTCCTTCTGCCTGAGCATGCGTAGGACCATTCCCGGAATGGTCCTTCCATTCATTGCTGAATTCATTGCAGAAGGACAGTGGCTCAGCGCAAGTCCTAACAATGCGACGTTAGCATGAACACCATTAGAATGCCCTTAGCATTTGCTGGTACAAAGAAGAAGGCCGGAGTCTCATCAAGATGAGACGACATGTTGTGACTCCCCCACCCCCTGCACTAGCAAGGGCTGCTGATGCATCAACGATGGGCTTTCTAGGGCAGCGTGGCCAGCACTGCTGGGAACCACCCGTTCCCTTCCAGATAAATCAAATTCAATTTAATAACACTTCACAAATAAAGAACAGCAGTAAATTGCTAAGAGGGGAAACTCCTCCTGGGCCAGGAAGGGATTTCAGTCCTGGCTGCTCGGCTGAGGCCTTCTTCAGGCGCAGGGGCTTCGGCCTGGAGGAGCCAAGCCCCTTCCTCTCAATGCCAGCCTGGCCGTTTGCCAGAAGAGGGAGCCACAGGTGCATGTGAGGAGCACACCTGAGGAGGCGACAGGCCTGCAACGCCACAGCTGCGGCAAGCATCACAGCCGGGGCCTCTCGAACAGGCCCGGGCAAGATCCAGCCCCGTCGGTCTGCCATTCCCCTTACCGGATTCGGGGTCGCAGGTTTCACTGTGCCCATTGCAGAAGCACGGCACGCACGGGCTGTACGGCCCCAGACGGGGGTTCTCCCTCTTGTAGCCCTGGGCGCACCGTTCGCAGAACTGCCCCAAGTATCCTGTGGGACACGTGCAGCTCTCGACCCACGTTGCCGGGATTCCAGGTCCGGGCTGAGCACTCACGATCGTGACGTCATCCAAATATCCCGCATCTGGAGAAGAGGGGCCACGCAGGCAGATTAATTGGGTTTAACTGCTAAGGGAACGGCCTGGAATGGCACAGTCATGAAGCAAAGGGCCTCAATCAAAACCAATCCACCAATCATCCCAAAATGCAAAAGACATGCGGCTGGATCTATTTCCCATTTCCAATTAGGAGTCTTACAACTGGAAAGGTCCCACCAGTTCCCTCTTCTCATCAGCAACGATTTAGACTGGAGGACCAGTATGGGAGAAAGGCAAGGGCCAGGTCAGGCCAGACCACTACTCAGACCACCTCCTTCACACTTCAGGGGAACAGGGAGCCTGCCTCGCAGAGCTGGACTTTGCTCGAGGCTGTCCCAGTGTTGACTCCTAATATCTGTTTGTTTTTCTGCCTTTGGCAGGAGGTAACAAAAAGGAAGGAACTGCTGTTGAGCTGAGTGCACAGAGTGTTGTGTATTAAGAAAACCTTCCTGCTTGTTAGGTTTGGCTTTAAAGGGCTTAGGATTAATGGAAATACCCGGTGGCAATGTACATACCGTGCACTGCACTGACTGAAGCGTGATTCGAGCTGATCAAATGAAATATATCTGCAGAAAGTCATTCCTGGATATTGGGGAGGCTTTGAAGGTGGAGTGTTATTTCTCACTCAAGCGAATCTAACTGTGGATCGCAACTTGCTGCCCCCCAGGTGTTCTGGCCTGCAGCCCCCATAAGCACCTACCACCATAGCCAATGCTCAAGGATGATGTGAGCTATAGGCCAAAGCACTTGGAAAGTCACACATTGCTGAGGATCCCCCCACATCCCAGAGAGTTGACTATTTGCCACTATAAAGGGGTAATCCACTCTGATGCAGTGTGCTTGTGCCTGCAAGTCACGGAGCCTGCTGTGGCCAAGAGACGTTTCTCTCCTGCCAATTGTGCCGAGAGCTGCCATAATTACAAGCTCTGAAGCCAGCCTCCCACCTCCACATCTTCTTCCACTCTCAAGAGCGACTTTCCCCTTCCCCTACTTGGCATGAAGCACGGCCTCATTTTAGGGGCACCCCAAGCAAACCACGAATAAACCCAAGCCGCGTCCCATCAAAGCCACTGCAAACAACATAAGCCTCATGAACAATTTTAAGTCTGTTTCCTGCAGGCAGCGTGCCTCGCAGGAGTCTCGCGTTGCGCAAGCGCGACAGAGACTGGGCAAGCATGGTTCATGCTTCTCTTATGGAGGCTGGATTTCTATTTTTTGGAGGTTTTCTCCCTTTTTCTTATAAGCTGTCCCAAGACGTTTGTAGTGGGTGGCCTACAAAAGCTTGAAAGCAAGCAAGCAGGGTAGGGAAGGGGAAGGGAGGGGGAAGGGGGGGGGAAGGGAAGGGAGGGGGAGGGAGGGGGAGGGACGTCGTAATTGCTCCAGAGACAGTAGAATGGGCATTCCTTAGGCTGGTTCCTACTTTGCAAGCAAAGTTCCCAGAGAACTAGTACGAAATCTGCACCAGGCCTACGTGCAACGCCTTTGCACAGTAGAGCAAAGCAGCTTATGGAGATGGCAGCCAGCCAAGCAGCCTCCTAGTAAAAGCATGGGAGTGGGAGAGGAATGCGGCGTTTACTAGCATAAAATGTATTTGCACACATCATTCTTTCGTATATGGTCAAGAGAAGCATACAAGAACGGCTCCCACCCCTTGCAGATGGACCGGCTGATCTTTCAGTCCAGGCTAACATCTTAATCCATCCTATGTGAATCGACACCAAGCTCTTTTTCAGCAAAGTTATAATCCTAGAAAAAGGCGAGCTGTTCCCTTCTGATTTCACAATCCCCCTGCAACTAGGCTTGGCAGCCACACGCTGGCTATTGCTTTAGGAAGGGCTCTACCTCATGTATACAGTATTTTTAATGGCGCTTTATGTTGATGTTAGGATGTTTACATTCTGGCCAGGAACGCTACCTCTGACCACAATTCCAGGCACTCCTGCTTGTGAGCAATGAGAGGAATGTTAATTACGCCACTGTCTTTCCACACACCACCACCCCAACCTTCAGTAATGACATTCCCCTTTGGTATACAGGGCTTCGCAATGCTCCCCTGGATTCCATGCATTTCAGACATAATCAGCATGATGCGTTCTGCATTTTACCAACCTAATGACTGCAGCACGGACCACTTCCATCAGGTGGTCAATGCACAGGTACTCCAGAAAATTCTGCCATTTATGTTGAGAACTAGGGAGGTGTGGATCAAATCAGGATGATCCAATGAAATCTGCTGTGTATATCAGATTTCAAAGAACATCTTGGCTAACCTATCCAATCTGGATAACTAAAGCCATATAAGCAGTACTGAAACAAAGTCAGAGATGTTTATAAATCAGGCTCAAGTGCAGAAGAGAAGAACCAAGCTTCCTCATTAGATTCCTAAATGATTCCTGTATGCTGCGCAGGGAGAGAGAGCTCGAGTAAGAGACTGAGGAGTAAATCGGGGAGCTCCTAGTTCAAATCCCACCTATTATGAGAGAGTCTCAGGTAAGCCAATATTCCCTCATTAAATCTGCAATGTGGAGATCGTACCTTTCACCTAAATTATTTGGTTGTTGAAAGTGGTATAAATTATTAGCCTCCTTTTCCTCCATCCACTGCACTTTGCTGTGAAATTCCAGCATTATTTACATATCTCAATGTCTCCTACACAGAATGAGATACAGGGCCCACTCGTTTAAAAACCAGATGCTTGTGTATGTGATTTATAGTCCTGCTCTCCTTCCTGAATTCCATGTTCTCAGACGTCACCTATTTAAATATTTGTTGCATCTCTCCTCACATCCAGAATTCTGTGGGGAGAACTATTTGGCCTCATGCTTTATTTTAAAAAGTATAAAGTCGTCATATTCTCAAAGAATAAGCCAGGATCCCAGAAAAAGGCTGGCTTACTGTTCTCAAGCTAAAACAAACGAAAACGAAAGAGACACTTTAAAAAACCGTGCAGGGCAAGCAGTTCCACTATATAGGAGCCACCACTGAGAAAGCCCCTTGCTTGATTTCCTCTTGGCCAGCTCATCCAGCAATTCCTGCCAACTTACTCCTCTCGCTGTAGGTGCCACGGATTTTGATAGCAGTTAAATTGTGCAGCAGCTTCTGGAACTCGAAAGGCGTAAGAGCCGGCCTCCAGGGATAATCCGTTGCTTCATGGAGCCTGAAGGGAAGAAGCACACACCACTTTTAAAAGCTCTGGCGATCTCACTGCAACAGTCCGGCTCAGAAAGCGGTTATTGCGCTCGGGTGCGTGTTCTGCTGGGGCTCAGTGTTCCCCTGATTCTCTCTCTCTTCCTCTCTCTCCCCCTCATTCTGGCCATGCCAAGAGGTTCAAGAGCAACTAGCCAGTCTTTCACTTCTCGTACCCACACTGGAATCCCGGCAGCCCTTTAGGGGGGTTCAGTTCCACTCAGCCTCCTCAACCAGAGCGGCCGCATCCGCCAGGAAGCCCTGCCAAAGTCACCCCCACCCACAGCGCCTGCCACACCGTCTGCTGCAGAACGTCCGCTGGCCCCAGGACCAGGCTGCGTTGCAGAGGGACGGCAACCATGCTGGGGCTGAGGGCGACGTGCATGGGACCCGGCCTGCCTCCATCTTACCTTGTTTCCTAATCCTTAGAAGAGGCATTTCAACCTCCTGGAATGGGAAGCAAGCAGCACAACAGGGAAACCAGCGCATGATCTCGGGTTAATGAAAGGGAAGAGGTGTGGCTAACTTGGGAACCCCAGAGGAGGAGAGGGTCTGACTGGGACTCTCGGAAGGCTGGCTTTAACCGCCCCCCATGTCTGAAATCTGCCAGTACAGTGCACAGCATTCAGTCTAGATCTGGATTATGTATGCAAGAGAGGCCTGGTTGTTCTAACTGTATTTCTAGTCTTACAGTGGGGAGGAAGCATGATAAGTAAAATCAATATGGGATGAAACCACCATGCCCAATACAACTGGTCCCACCAACGTGGCTTTTCCATGTCTAGAGCCTCTGATCTTAGAATGAACCTGCTCATCATCCAGCCATTCATTAATGTCCATCAGGAGAGAGGCTTCCAGTTACAACACAAAGGCCGACAATTTGAACATGTATTCAAAGACAATAGGTGGGCATGATCCAGCTGAAGTTAACCACCTGTTATTGCACTGAATTAAAATGTGAACATCAAGCAAGCTCTTAACTCTTCCTCCATTAAAAACAATGAGACTGTAAAGCGTATAGATTTAGCTGGTGCATCACCTGCTGTTTATTTCTTTTTCCTCCAGTCATAGGGCTTGGCTCTCTCTCTCTCTCTCTTTGTTCTAGTGTTCTAGATCAGGTAGTTACCTGATCTAGAACACTAGCAAGTTACATTCACCTCTTACTGTTAGGACTGTGTGACTCAGGCAATCACTAGGTTGGAGAAATCGATTTAAATCCAATTGCACGATTAGCAATACTTGCCAATTATTTCCAAACAACACAGGTTGGTAGAGCTACATTTCCAAGGGCACTCCTCGGCCCTCCAAAGGGGGTGGCCTCCTCGAATACGAAACGAGCTAACCTTCCCCAAGCCACAACTCAAAACAGGCACTGGCGAGGCACGCTTGCATACTAGAAATCGTACACGCCCCAGAGAACTTGGCTTACTGGGAAGTTTAAACGTCTAACAGGAAAAAGGCGAACTGAGCATGCCTAACCACTGCGAGCCAATTCTGAAATGCTGAAAGTCAACGGCAACATCCAATTCCAGATGTTGCTCACTTCAGCCAGCCTTTTATGCGTTTGGCTCAGGGAGAATCACCTGTGTTTTGTGTAGCCAGGATTCTGAGCGCTTTCATGAGACACTTTCTGCTGTGTCAGATGCTGCTTACAGCTGCTGACTTTCCCCTTGAATGTCCACAGGTTCGAAGCACACTGCTTACCTGAAGGAATATGTCAGCGTGTTCTCACTCGGATAAGCATTGCCTTGGGCAATGAGAGGGACAGAAACTCTTAGCCCTGCCCCTTCGAGAACTATGTCCTCAGCCGAAAGGCGCGTGTCCCGCCTGTCGACCCGGAAAGAGAACGTCAAGTTCTGGCCGTAACTCAAGACTTGGTTCCCAAGGAATTTGCCTGAAAGAAGAACAAGGAAGTCCACATGCGAGGAATGGTAAAGACAGGAAGATTAATTCCAGATAAGGTTTTATCTATCGCCCTGGAATGGAAACAGCCCCTCTCGCCTGGTACCTGGTGCAACGAAGTAGATGGGAAAAGGTGCTTCTGAGATGACAGATATTTCTTGCGTCTCGGTGCGCCACTGCACTGCAACTTCGGAGCCATCTCGTTGTTCGGCGTGCCAGGCTTCTTCTCCTGAGAGCCACAAGGAGAAGTGATCATGCATTCAGGAAAAACGAGTTCACGGTAATTAAGGAAACACCCACTGCTGTTTTGAGATACTTGCGTGTTAACTTGCTTTGGCCAACTTGGAAGTAAGAGGAGCAGATGCCACCAGATGCTCGGAAATGTTTGCCATGGGGAAAGTGCCATGGTGCCCCCAACTGAAACCTGCGAAAATCCTGTTTCAGGAGCACCAAAGGGTCTAGCTAGACATAAGTGGAGCGGGCGTGTTTTTGCTTGTGCTGCTGCCTTGCCCATGCATAAACCTGGCCGAATTTTAGCAAATAAAGGGGTGGGATGAAAGGCAGGTTGCTTAACTATAGCTGTGGTTCTCTGAGCGGTCACCTGTACATTCACACATACGGGATCTGTACCTTCCCGTTAGGGAAGCTCCTACAGCAGAGCAGTTCTGGGTGGGAAATGGTCTCCGCTTGTTCCCGACAAGGACAGAAAGCAACGCACGGAAACACCCGATCTCGGTATCAACAGCCAGTCCAATGAAAGCATGACACTGACGGGGGTGGGGGGGCTAGGAGGGCTGTGTGAATGCACAGGGTTACACCTGCATGGAAGCAACCTGTCTTCCCTCTTGGTGGTCCCTCTGGGGACACGGGTGAATCGCAGGCCTAATTACCAGCAACAGGCGATCTCGTCAGCGAAGGACGGAGGAGAGAAGCACACAACTGCACTGGCTTGTACGTCAACAGGGCAGTGCGCAGCACAACTCGGCAGAGCCAAGTTGCCGCCTCACCTAATGGAGGTAAGGTGACCCCTCTCTCAAATGCGAAGAGTTTGGCAGTGCCCCGGGAGGGTCCAGTCTGCCTGGAGCAGTTAGTTCAAGCCCCTCTGTTTGATGGGCCAAGTGATGCTAGGAATCACTCGCGAGACAAAATGGAGCAAGGGGACCGGGAAATGCTCGCTTTTTCCCTGTGCGGCAAGCAAAAAGACGACTGAAAAGGCCAAACGGTTCGGTCCATGCCTTGTGGAAGGATGGGGACCAAGGAACATCAAGGGCATGCAAGAGGGGGGGCCCACAAAAGCAGTAATTATCTTCTGGAGGGCGGGCCCCTTGTAGCACCGGCTCCCCCCGGGAGGTGAGTGTTCTAGGAACCCACCTGCAGGAGTGCACCCAGCCAGGCTGTTGCGCAGGGTCGCATTCGGCCCCAGTGAGGTTTTTAGGAGACCCTTCCAACATGTCCGCCTATTTCGTGACGGCGGATTCCATGTGTGGAGGGGACATTTTGTTTCTGACCAAAAAATGGCATGACCCTTGTGCCCCACCCTCCTTTTTCATCCAATCTTGCCCGTGCAACTTTTTTTGTTTCCCTGGATGAAAAAAGTCCTCAAAGGGAAACATTTTGCCAATGTAAAAGAGGAGAAACAAAAAACGGAAGAAGCACTAAAAGGCATCAAAATCGACTCCTTCGAAACCTGCTTTGAGCAGTGGAAAAAAGTCTCGATAGGTGTATCGCATCAAACAGAGAGTACTCTGAAGGTGACTGAAGTTTGAACAGGTAAAAATAAATACACGGTTTTTAATAAATTCCTAGTTTTTTGGGGTCCCCCTCAAACGATAGTTTCTAGCAGGAGATGGGAAAAGCAAATGCTGGGTTTAGGCGGAAAGTAGGAATGACTTCCAGCATGTCCTGATGAAAAACAAGGCGCAGGGCTTCTACCCACCGGGCAGAGGGGTTGCTGGCACGGAAGGTTCATGTGACAGGTATAAGGAATGCCACCTCCCAAGAGAGGAGATGCAAGACCGGGCTGGCCAATGGCTCAAGTGGTTTTGCAGGCAAACCCTTCAAAACTACTGAAAGGCTTTAAGGCAAGTATGGTGCACTAGGCTGCGGATTTCCCAAAGGCATTATTGAGCCGAAGGATGTGAAAGCAGCGACTGTTCCTGGAGAGCCTGCAGCGGGATGGACACGAAGAGGCAATACTGCCAAGCCCTTCTGGGGCACACGTCAAAATGTCTGGAGCAGGGATGGATTTAGTCCACATGCTACTTAACTCCGAATTAAGCTCTTAATCTTATGCGTGCTGAGACAAAGAAGTCCATACTGGCTGCAGAACACGGAAAGCTGCACAGCACCCGTAAGAGACCTAAGATGCAAGGCTGACGTTGCAAAGTCACTGGGTTTTATGAAGCTTCTCTCACCTTCCCACCTGCCTGCCTGCTTTATTTAAGGAAAAGTACAGCTCACTAAGGTGCATGTACATGTGTTTTAGACTTCGAATTACTCAACAAATTAAATGCACCGGAACATAGCAACGCCAGACTAATTTGGTACCAGCTGTTCTATTCTTGTTGTCAACTGATATTTTATCTTGATATCCTGATTCATTTTCTGGAACACTAAGTTCATGACATCATAGTGCATTTCGATATTTTTTTTAATACATGGCAATAAATTGTTTTTGTGTTTCGTGGCTGGCATGGCTCAGGGCATGTCTTCGTGTGAGACGGAAGCATGCATTTACCGATTTGGAAGCTAGAGGTAATTCTGGCGATACTGTATCCAACAGCATTGGAACAAACGGATGAATGCCCGAAGCAGAAGCAAGGAGTACATCCTCTAGGGCTGGCAGAGTCCAGGTTAAAGAAGCCCGGTTTGCACCTAAAAACAAAACAAAAATGGACGTTTCTAATCCCACTCACACCACTGCTGCACAAATAATCACTTTTAGCAAAGTCTCTGTTGTTGTTGTTGTTGTTGTTTACCCTTCATGACCCCATGGGCAACACTCCTCCAGGGCTTCCTGTCCTCCACCATCCCCCAGTGTCCACTTAAGCTCACTCCGACTGCTTAATGCCCACCGCCCCAGTGACCCCATCCAGCCACCTCATCCTCTGACCTATCGCGACCCCATGGACAACATTCCTCCAGGCTCTCCTGTCCTCCACCATCCCCAGAGTCCACCCAAGCTCACACCCACCGCCCCAGGGACCCCATCCAGCCACCTCATCCTCTGCCGCCCCTTCTCCTTTTGCCTCCAATCGTTCCCAGCATCAGGCTCTTCTCCAGTGAAAAGTCTCGTTATATTAGGCCAAACCCACAATGCATGGCGCAACCCTGCCAGACTACTGTTTCCGTTAAACAAAGCCACGCTTCCTTTCATGGAAAGCCTTAAAAAGTTCCAAGAAGGAACCAAGCCAAAGCAGAACCCATCCTGCTTTTGAGGGGTGGCAGACAGAACGCTGGACACTGAATAGGACGGCCTGGGTTCAAATCCTTGCTCGGAATGGCGCCTCCATTCAGGTTACAATGGTCTTTGCCATGGGGCAGTGGCCCCACCTGGATGCAAGTGCATACACGGGGACATCCAAAGACACGAGTCTGTCACAGGTAGTTAAATTCATTCAGTGAGTCTGCAAAGACCGCAGAGCGATGGCAACAATCTTTTTCGCAAGCGGGACTGCCAGATCCAGGCTTGCTTCCCTCAGCAAGGCGGCAAAGGCCAGGACCGTTGCGGGAGTTCGACCGTGTGTGCGCGGGCACGGACAGATCTGTGCTGAGAAAGGAAAACTGCCGGGGCCGCACGTAGTCCCCTGAGCCGATCAGCAAATTCTACCTAGCAGCCCCTCAACTGCCAGCGTAGCCTCGTTCCAAACACCCGCCCCCCTCCTCCCTCACACATGGGAGCCCCCCGTTTGAGAGTGGCTGCTCTGAGCTCAGTCCAACCCACAAACAGATCGAATCGTCTCGTTCAATGAGTTATAGTGCAGACCCGAGCCATGGAACTACCTTGCAGGATTTTTGCAGGGCTAAAAGGTGTTATCCTGACACCAGCTTCTCTGAAGGCCTTGAATGGTCAAATACCAAAAGGTAATGATAAATTGTTCCGGGCCTGGGCTTAAATCCCGCGATGTAATGCAGCGCCACGTTACCTCTCGCAGTTGAATCCCTCTACGTTTTCTTTGCAGGTGCAACGGCCCGTTTCCGTGTTGCACTCGTCCGTGCTCCCGGCGGGATTGCAGGAACACCGCCTGGATGAGGATAATGAGGCAGAATAAGGGACTGTGCACTCGGACGGCACTTCTGCGCCGGACCTATGGAAGAATTACCCTTACCTGCAACCGGCCTCAGTGAGAGAGTGGAAGCCAGGCTGGCACCGGTCACATTTGTCGCCCATCACACCGGGCTTGCAACTGCACCGTCCGTAGTTGTCACACTGAGTGCTGAGGGAACCTGCAGGAACAGAATGAGAATGAGCAGCCCCTGGAAACAAACAAATCGCACCAGTCTACTGCCCTTACAACGATGCCTTAAAGACCGAAAACAAACATTCTTGGAGCACAACGATATATTAGTGCAATCGTCCTCAAGCACTAACTTGATGAGCATGAAGCAGAATATGTGACAGTACATGATATACAAAGCTCAAAAATCCTTAACTTTTCTAATCCGGCTGGCTGCGACATCCATGTTGCAATTGTTTTTTATTTGCTGCTGTTACCTGAGGTCGTCTCAGATTTACAGATTTGGATAATGCCTTGCGCTTAACAGCCATGCTCAGCTTTTGTAAATTCAAAGCCGTGGCTTCTTTTACGGAGAGGATCCATTCCAGGTTTGGTTCCCCCTTCTTCGTCTGTTTACACCTTTCTCTAGCATGATGGTCTTCCCCAGCGAGTCTTGTCTTCCCATGATGTGCCTGAGGGACAGCCTTATCTGGCCCTTGTAATATTTGCTTCCATGGCAAATTCTGACTTCAACAGATCCAGGGATCCACTTGTTTATCTTCTTGTCATTCCAGGGTGCTCCCTAAAGCTCTCTGCAAGCATCATGTTTTGAATACATCCGTTTCCTTCCTGTCAGCTTTCTGCTTTGTCTAACTCTCATAATAATGTGAAACTACTTACAATTCACAGTTGCGTGGATGCTCTTGCTCTTGGTCCCTAGTGAAATGCCCTTAAACTTGAGGGTCTTTCCTAGTTCGTTCAGTGCTTCCCTTCCGAGTATCCATCTTCAAATTTCTTGGCCACACTTTCCATTTGAATTAATGATGGGACCAAGGTATGCAAAATTCTTCACAATTCCCATTTCCTCATTGTTGGCATTAATGTTGCATAACTCTTTAATATTTAATATTCATATTTAATTAACATTTACTTATCTTGCTTAAATTATATTTAATTGCTTAACATTCATTTTATGCAGTGCTTTTGAAAAGCCAAGAATGCCACATACATTTAATCAATCTGCCAGGAGCACTCTATGGATGACATCAGTCCATGAAGAAAAGCAGCTAGCCCTTTGCTCAGTTGCTACTTTTACACAGGGAGGGGTGTCCCTTTATGGAGAAGCATTTAGTGACAGGAGCGCCAACCTGCAGGGCGAGTCAGATGTGGTCCCGGCAGTGCACACAGCCCGCGTTCGCATCAAGCAAAACTATGGTGGGCCATTACTGTGGGGAGGCAGCATGATGTCTGACTCTCGAGCAGGTTCCCCATCATGGATTGCTTTTCTCAGGCGAGCCACCCTGGAACAAATGGTCTGTCGCAGAGTTCTTCAGCATGGGTTGTCCCCAGGTGACCTCTGGTGACACCTGAGCCCAGCCAGGTGAGATCAACCCCCACTGCTCTTGCATTCTTGGTGCTCTGCCATTCTCCCTCATCCCTTCCTGGCAGCCTCCACCTTTAATTTTTTTTAAATTCCCTGTTTTGCTTTTTTCCCCTCCTTCAACAACCCCAAATTCTGGATTTGGATGACACAAAAGAAAACACGGTCCCTGGGTAGTTTACTAAAGTGGAAGCACATGTTTAGGGTGAGATCCAGCTTTAACGCTTGTTCACATGCGCTCCCAAACCCACAGTTTCTTAGCCATTGGTTGTTCAATTGACCGAACCAGGTCAATGTGTACTAAATATGGATTAGCTCCATTTGCTAACCTGAAAGTTAAAGCCAGATAAATTGCCCCCCAAAGATAGCTGGTATATAACGCAAGGACATTTCCAAAACTAGAATGTATTTGGACAAATTATTTACTTTTCAAAAATGGGTAACATCTGTAATTTAAAGAGATAATGAGTAATTAAAAGCCAAGTTTTCAGTAGGAAAGCAAGACCTGATTCTACCTTTAGGCTCAACAATGATTCTAACAGAACAAAACCTTTATTTTTAAGGAGGATGAAACAAAACAGAATAATTTATCAACAAAGAGCTCACCAAGCCCTTACCATATACAGTCAACATTCTTTAGTCTAGCCTATAATTATTTAGAAACAATTACTCAGACAAAAATACCATCTTAAATCAACACACACGCACTTTAAATATACACTGGCTGCTTGTGTGTCATGGAATATACTGCAGGGTTTTAATGCTCCTTACCCAGCCTTCTAAATTTGCCTCTGAATACTGGAGTAATCAACCTTCACCGTTGTACTGGACATACTTGGGACAAAGATAAAATAGGAGTCACACCAGGTCGGTGGAGGAACACACACTGCAACTTAAATTGGGGCTTAAGTTTGGTACCTCCATTTGTGAGTAAATTTGTTATCAACAGGAATGCAGCTTTTCTTACAATGTTTTAAACACACAATTGTATGTATAAATATTATACTAATGCTCAAGTACAAAACGCTGAAGGAGATCCCATAGCGACCCAGACAAAGGACAGGCCCACACAACACAGTAACCCACCCTGTGAATAAACAGCATCGTGTGGACTGTTCAGAGAACAGCAGACACCTGGATTCACCCTGGGTTGTTTTCCCCAGCTTTCCCTGCAGCTCTTCAGCCTTTTTTCCAGTTCCTGCACAGTAGAACCTGTCTTATCTCCCCTTCCATAGTCTGATTGTGACCCCATTTTTTATTTGCTGGCTTGTTTTTCCTGGATCCCCAAGCTGCCGCCAGGGACTGGAATCTCACTGCTGTTTGCAGCTTCTTGGCCATTTTTGAGAAGGTGGGACAAGAGTGTGGCCAGCTGAGATGGCTCTCAGTTATTGATCTTTATGGGTGCACGTGTACGGCTCCCCTAAATGCAGGGTTTTGCCTGGCCAATGCCCTAGCAAGCATCTCCTGCGACCTCAGGTCTGTCCTTTTAATGAAGCTGACTTTTGGCTCACGTGCGATCTAGTGGGTACATCTTACAGACCAATACTGAGTAGCTACGCGAAGAATCCAGGTCCCCGCGGCTTTTCAACAGGCGCTGGTGTTTGGCAGCGAAGCAACGAGCACGGTTCAGCACCCCTTCCACTCACCGATGGGGTTGCAGTTGCAGGGCAGGCAGGATTCCTCGCTTCCGAGGCGGTAGAAGTTCTCTCGGCACCTCTCGCAGCTCGGCCCGTCGGTGTTGCCGTAGCAGCCCGTGCAATGGCCGCCGTGGCCCGTGGAGCGGTACAGCTCCGGATCGAAGTAGCACTCCTGCGATCGGCCGTTGCAATTGCAGGCTGTGGGCGAGGAAGAACCGCAAGTTTGTGAAACAGGCTGCGAAGTGCATCTCCCTTCCTGCTTGCCAGCCCCTCGCCACTAAAGTCTGTAATGCTTCAAGATCAGAAACTCAGTCTGGGCATGCAGAGTAATACGAAGAGGTAGAGGATGCCGGGGAGGGATAATCGAAGAGGCCAGAAAATTAAGCCATTGTTCCTGCATGCTGGAAGATGGGGCAGTACTTTGCTCCCTCAGATAAGGCTTCGTCTTTAGCATAAAGGAACAAAGAATCGTTCTGTGCAATTCTCCTTTGGGTTCCGCTTAAAAAATTAAGGAAGAAAATGCAGCTGTGTTGCTGTGGCTCCCCTTTTTCCATTCACAGCGACACCACCAGTATCCTGGGAAGGGAATATGAGTGATGCTTCCGGGCTGGAACATGAGAGTCCTCCGTTGGCTACAGCGGAGCTCTTTGGCAGGCGATTATTTGGTTTTAGACTATCGAATGGAGAGGCAAACCCTGAAGGACCAGCTTCCACAACAGCGCCTGGTATTCCAAGGCGCTCTCCCATCCAAGCATTAACCAGGACTGCTCCTGCTTAGCTTCCAGGGTCGGACTAGATCAGACGTGTCCAGGAATGGACACAGGCAGCCTGCTTGGCCTATCGATTCCCATGAAAGCTCAAGCAGAGGTGGAGCACTCTTGAAAAGCGCTGGCTTTGGTAGAGCTCTCCTCTTGCATGCACTCCCGTTTCTTAAGCACAAACCAAAGGGCTGAGATGTGAATCCTGTGCAGGTTTCTTAGGCTGCAAGGGAAGGACGCCCTCTGCTAAAGGAAATGGGGGTGATCACTGGGGTGCTGAGGGCCACCCTAAGAGCTTGGACTGAGCTCGCAAGCTACGGGCTGCCCCTCCATCCTGACAGTCAGGACTAGACACCTGTTGATCCTTGCAGTGTTGCCGGGATGCTCCGGTTAGCAGACTAAGAGCGATGCAATTCCGAGGCGGGGGCTGTCTGTGCACAACAGTGCAATGCCAGAAGAGAATACCCCTAAGCTGGGGTGGCCTTTCCAGCAGGGTGCCCCCTACCTGCGTTGGACCACAGCTCAGCACCCCTCGGCCAGCACGGGCAATGCTGAGCTAGCGCACGGACAAAGCGCAGGGTGGGGCTGCAATATCTCCCCTCTGTGCCCCCCCTCCCCTTGAGATCTGAGGCGGGGGTCCTTCTTTGGGAGCCCTCCCTGAAAGGGATTAGGGCCGTGGTTACCTGGGAGGGCCTTCTCTGTGGTGGCACCCCAATTGTGGAATGTACTCCCCATAGAGGTTCGCCTGGTGCCAATGCCTTTTTCCTTTTGGCGCCAGGCACAAAACTTTTTATGCTCCCGTTATTTTAATGTTCAATTGGTTTTAATTGTAAATTTTATCGTGAATGGCTGGATGCTGTGCCATTTTTATCTGTGCTTGTTGTAAACCGTCCCGAGACGTTAGTAATGGGACGGTCTAGAAAAGCTTTGGATCAATAAACGAAGAGGGAGTGGCTAGATTTCCACCCGGCTGGTTTTCCAGCTGTGCGTGAGTTCCTGTCCTTCCCACAGCCCTCCCACACAGCTCGGCTGCTCTCTGGCACGCAAACTGCGGCGAACGATAACGTGGGACCAGCTTTCTGCAGCTGCATCCTGTGAGAGAGAGGAAAAAGCGTTGCGGCTTTCCTTACAGCAGACAGCTCTAATTGCTCATGCCTCGGACGTGAAGCAGAGCAAGAGCTACCAGACACCCGTTTTGCCAGGCTTTCAACTCAAGTCACGGACTCAGACGGATGGCCAAGAGCTCGTGGCACACGCAGAGTGCAGGCTGGAGGGAAGATGCCCCTTGCCTCTCTCCATCTTATGAGCTAGGGGTTCTTGCACTGTGTGCCAGGCACTCTCATGTAAAAAGGGAGGCCTAAACGTAAGGTTTTGGGAATTAAGTCATTCAGATGGATGCACGCCCTCTTTCTTTCCCTGCAGAACTTGACACAGGTCTCCTGCGTTTATGTTATGCATCCTAGCCAAGGAGATTACTCCGCAGTAAGAGAATACTCTTACTTTCATGTCCATACTGCCTGTAGCTGAAGCTCTCGACCGAGCTCATTCCGTCCACCAAGCTCAATTAGCGGTCCCCAGGTTGAGCCTGAGTGCAGGCACTCGTCTCCTGACCTACGCCGCCAATGCCAGCAAACCCGCCATCTGAAGTGGAGGGCAATCCAATGAGCAGGATTCCAGCCTAGACGCATTACAGTCTTCCCAGTAGCTACTGTAGGAGCAATTTCCTGGTTAGAGAAGCCAAAGGGTTTCCTGCCCAGAATTGTAACGGCCAGGAAGCGAGGCTTCTTGGCATAGCTCCCTGGTGCGCCTCCAGGACCAGCCATAGCAGAATAACATAAACAAAGTAAGGGTCAAACCTGTTGCCTCAACGGTCTTACTGCATGCAGGTTGCAGAATTCTATTCTTGTGATTGCAGAATCTGGGTCACCCCGGCACTGATAGTTTCTCTACATATTTTGGCACAGAGAGTACAGACTCCTGGGCATAATTAGTCAAGCCCTATTCGAAATCAGTAATGCACAAATAAATTTCCCCCCTTGCATTTAGGGAAAACAGCTCCGTATGCCAACAATAAGCATAGATAACGAGCTAGTGGTAGCTAATATAGTCTGGATTTGAGATATGAACAGAAAAATTACCTAACACTTTGCAGGGTCCAAGAACTTTCTAACACATACCATGTTTCAAGTAATAAGGTGAAACCAAGATACCTGAGGTAGGTTAAAAATATGCTTGGCTGCTGCATTAATAAAGGATGACAGAGGCAGGAAGAGCCAAGCGCTTGCCAGGAGGAAGAAGGAAGGGAACACATTTAATAGCCTTAAAATTGGCTACCACCCACTTGACAGTAGGAGGAGGTGGAAATAATTGGCAGGGGGACGTTTCTTCTCAGACAAAGCCAGATTATTTCAGAACAGCCCCAGCGCACTTACGCAAACACTCGTTGGCACTGTCCGCCGTTGCTCTTCGCCAAGGCCGGTCGTTGTAGAAAGGGAGGCATTTCTCGCAGTCGACCCCAAAGGTGTTGTGCCTGCAACTGCAGGAAAGCTTCCCGTACTCGTTCTGCGCACACTCGCTGGCGTGGCCGTTGCATTTGCACCTGCGGGAGGGACAGGGCTCAGAAGGACAGCACATCTCGCGCCCCACGCAAGCCCCGGCTTCCCACACGGCCACGCACTGAGTCACTCGGGGGCCGGGGAGGGCTCCTGGGGCACAGCGGGCGGCTGCTCCCCCACCAGGGAGGAGTTCTTGCTGCGGGGGAAACGTGTCCGCACAACGAGCCGAGGGGGCGACTTTCCTTCGTCCAAATGACAGCTCTCTCCAAGGCAGGAAGCACTTTCATCAGTGCTGTTTAAAGATGGCTTAGGAGTCCCCTGCTCTAGGAACAGTGAACCGCAGGGTCAGAGCTTGGACCAAGATGGCCTCCATTCCCGGGACAACCAGTCGTGCAACTTCACTGAGCCCGGGGACGGCCGGAGGACAGTCGCCTCCTGCTCTGCTCCACGCATCATCCTGCATTGTATATGCAACGCCAGGAGCATTCAAGGCAGCCTGGTAAGATAGGCAAGGGTTGTATTCTCACAACCAGGCGTGGGAGAAGCAGCGAGCTGGTGCTGAAAAAGCCTCCCCTAAGGGCCGTCGGGGAGGCAAAACTGAGCTTCCTCGCTCACCTGTATTCTCAGCCACTACACCAGCCTTCCCAAAAGGGTGGGCTCTCCAGACGCTTTCGACTACACTGCCCAGCATTCCTGACCATTGACCATGTTGTCTGGGGCTACTGGGGGTTGCAGTCTAAAGCACCGGCAGGCACCTAGATGGGTAAAGCTGTACCATCTTATTGTTAGTGGAAGTAGCACTGCTGCTGCAGAGCTGGCAATTCTGAATTGTCGTCACTCTGTGCCATCCGGTTGCCCCTGCCTCATGGCGATCTTTTGAATGAGAACTCTCCAAAATGTCCCATCCGTGACAGTCCTGCGCATTGCAGTGACCCCATGAGATTCATTTTGCCATCTTGGGAAGGTCACTGGCCTTCTGCCTCAGTTCCCTGTCTGTAAAATGGGAACTCTCGCTCTTCTACCCATTGAATTATGAAGGCAAACAAGGCCGAGATGGTTAAAATACGCGGCCGTGTTTCTAAAGTGGTCTGTAATTGGTTAATAGTGTCACGAGACAATGAGACAGAAGAGACAGGAATGTTCGGACAAGCATGTCCGAGAAGCATTTTTAAAGGTATTGCACCCACTCATCCCTTGCCAGAATCTAATGTTGCCAATTACCCCCATTTTGAGGATTGTGGAAAGTGGGAAGGGGCAGGGCTCTGTATGAAGAGCACCAGAAGATGGGTGGAACATTTCTTCTGTCCCTCAGCTGCTCACTTCCATTCGCTCAAGTATGGACTTGTGTCAGAAAGGAAACAGTATATGAGACAAGCAATGCTGAGATGCATCGGTAGCGAACTCTGGCGGACGCTTCTGCGGTTCGGCCGGGGTGGAGAGTTCAGGAAATATGTGCAAAAACATCTGGATAAAGATGCTTGACTATCTTACAAGGTTGCTGGAAAAGTTATTGATATTTATTGCTTTCGTAGCCCACGTTTTGTCCTGCAAAGACCCCAAGGCAGGTTTGCTTCAGAAGGGTCAACTTGCCTGAAGTCACTCTCTGAGCTTCCCAGCCACACAGCGGTAAAGCCCAGGCCTTGCTTTATTAATAAAGGCTGACATGCAACAACTTTCAAATGCAAACAAAGCTAAAGAAACAGAACACAAGGAGCTGAAATTTCATGAAAGTGCCACCAAATTAGTAAGTCTTTTTTCTTCTCATCTGAACTGTTATACTTGTTCTGAACCACCCTGAGACCTTCTGATATTGGACCATATAGAAATTAAATACATTAAAATCAGTAACAGTCATAATAATCATGATGACAATGAAGATTCAAATGAGCACATATTTTACCTATTGAGAAATCCTCTTTTTCTATGGATAGTAATTTCATAAAATAAAATCAGGACTGTTTCAGTGGGTTGTGTAAGTCCTGTGCAAATAAAGCTAAAAGATGCACTCTGGATGTTGGAATAGTCCTATTAATGATGCATGTTTAGCTGCACAGGTTCATTAGCATATGTTTCTATTATGTCCCAGTTCTGAAATGAACACACAGCAAAAAAAACATACCACAGACAAATGCTGCAAGAGGAAAGCAGCCAGGGCCTTAAGCAAATAATTACGTTTCGTTATTAAAAAGAAGATTAAGTATGATTTATTACGTACCTACCACCCACAGCAAAGTCAGAAATTGCATAATAATAGGACTTGAGGACTTTGGGATCATTAAAAACTTCATCTCCAAAGGTGTTCAGGCGATTGAGGCTCACTCGGATGTCAGTGGCTGTCACCCATTCCTAAAGGGGGAAAATGGAAGTTAAGCCACACCATCCAGGCACGTTATGATCGGACAAGCCACGGCAAACCTGCGCACAAACAGCGCCGCTCTGCCAGCAGAAAGCCGCATTTAAGGGAAGCTTAAGCAAAGGCATGAAGGGAATAAGAGGAGGAGAATGGAGAGCCAGTGTGGTGTAATGGTTAAGAGCGGGGACTGGGACTCAGGTGATCCGGGTTCAAGTCCCTGCTCAGCCACGGAGCCAACTGGGTGACCTTGGGTCAGTCACAGACTCTCAGCCCAACCTATCTCACAGGGTTGTTGTTGTGGGGATAAGATGGAGGAGGCAAATGGTGTAAGCTGCCTTGAGCCCTTTGTAGGAAAAAGGCAGGATATAACTCAAAAAATAAAATAAAAACTAAAAAATAAACTAAAAATAGAATGGGTGGACATTCCTGCCATGGGATTGCACAGTGCAGAGGGAGAAACACGGACGAGCACCAAGAGAGAGAGACAGAGAAGAGAGAGAGCCTTTGCAGATCATAGTTACAAACTTCCAGTGTAGAAATATACAGGTATTTGAAGAGACATTTATAGAGATGAAAACTGTGGGCAACATAGTTTGGATGAACAAGTCGACTTCGAAAAGGGTTTCCTCACAGAGGGTGATCCACACAGTTTAGCCTCCTACTTTCTTTGCATGGTAAACAGGAGGGGAACAAAAAAGAAAAGATTTTCATTAGACCAACTCTTCTCCCTCAAAAGTAACCAAAGAAGAAAACCTCAGAGTGGAGCATTTTACGACCATGCAAGATGCTGAAGCGATTCCCTCTGTTCCTGAGGAACATAATCTTTTATCTTGCCTCCCATCTGAAGAGGATTTCCTCCCTCTCTTAACAAGGACCAAGTGGAGAAGCTTCTAACGTCACTTTTTGCTTTATGTTTGAAATATTTACAGGAATGTCTTGTGAAATGCGTGTGGTCAGAAATATCATCCTGGGTGTATTCCAACGGTCCATTGCTGATCATTACCTAGAGAAATGCAGCCCATCCAACATCAAAATTGTTGTTTTTATAAAGTGAGACAAGAGCTAAAGAATAGCATTTATAAAATTCTAAGTCCACTGTGTATTCCCCAAGAGTTTTGCTTTAAAAGGCCACCTTTGGTTGAAAATCTAGCTAAGAGCTATTTATTGGCGAATCAACATGAGTTTCGACCGGAAAGTGAGGTTTAAAACATGATCTGTGCGAAAGAGATACCAAGAACAAAGCAGACATGCACAACAGAACATCTCTGGAAGGGCAAGGAGAGGAGGAGAGAAGACGATCCACTTTAGATCTCAGCAGCTTTTCATACTAGGCAGAGATGATCAGAGAAAGAAAATAAGCCATCATAGATTATGTTCCTACCTATGTGTGCCAATGGTACACCACCAAATTACTATAATTACCCTCAGCCGGTAGAATCTGGGGGTGGGGAGGCAGTCTGTAGGCTACCCCACAAACCTAGAATCAATTATGGGTTCCTGAATGGTTTGAAGACCCGCCTGGTCCCTTACCTACCTTGACCAGGCTTGGATGACATGACTAACTGTGCCCAGTGAAGTTCATCATGTTAATAGCTGCACAGCATCTTTCAAACCGCTATCCTAGCCTGCCCAGGCAATGGTGAGGGGCTGTGGGAGCTGGAGGACGCCATGTTTGGAGGGCCACCCATTTTGCATCCCCAGTCTGGCCTGCACCTATCAGCAGGGCCTGAACGCAAGAAGAGAGAGAAGCGAATGCACTTAATCTGATGCTTTCTAGTCACAGGACGAGGGATGCATGTAGTGCGCGCACACTGTACCATGGCTCCTGGATGCTTTGCCTTAATTCCAAACTTCCTCTTGTTATTTTTCCCACAGACCCACCGCCACACAATGGAAACAGGCGTAATTGCTCCAAACTGGTTGGCCGCCTCCAACATCCTCCGCTTGCGAAAATAACGACCTGAATTTGACTCTTCTTTTTTTTGGGTGGGGGGTGTTGAAGCCAGCATCCAGGCACAGACTGAATAGTCATCAGTGCAGCCCCCGTGTTTGAAGCACCCGGCGCATTCCCTATTCATTTTATGCAGAACCGTTTTAACCATATTTGATGGTAATTTGGAAAGGAAGCAGGTGGGTCCCCACGGAAAAACAAACACCGCACCAATACAATGCAGCAGTTCTGTTTCCCTTAAAAGGAAGACGTCTCGTTTCCTTATTAGGAGGTGTGAAGTGATGCAAATTTAACAGGGTGGAATCAGCATCAGCGTCTCCATTCAAAGACCGGGAGGCCCTGTGCGGTGGACCAGAAAAGCAACCAGAAGGCCTAATCCCCAAGCTCTTTTCCACTGCGGTTACTAATTATTCCTCACTGTATTCATTGCACGCGTACTCTGGGCAGTCTGCTTGCACTGGTATGTGTCAAGCAAGCATGCCAAGTCGCTTCAGCTAAGCAGGAAAGGCACGGACTTGCAGCCGGATGGGTGACCAGATGTGGAAAAAGAGCAGGGAGGGGGACTTGATGGCCTTCTCAACTCCACCCCACCTCGCCCCACTCCACCATCCCACCCCATCCCTCCAGTTCCCACTGCCCATCCCAGGGCTGCCTTGAGCTGGCGGCCAAAGAGCACAGCACAGAAAGCTCCTGAAGAAGTAGGGTCATGGAGAATCTCACTGATCAAGGCATGGAGCAGACAACCCCTTTGCTCCCCAGGGAAGCATGTGGCTGTGGATTAGGGGCGCATGCAAGTAGGATGGACAAAGGAGCTGACACCCCCCAAGCCCTGCATGTGCACACACACCCTTCCTCCCACCCCTGTGCACACCCACCTCTCTCTCACCTGCACAAATGCCTCCAGAGGAGTGGAATGCAGGCAGGAGAGGGTTAAGTCTCCCCATTTGCATGCAAATATCACCTCCTGCAATCTGGGGAGGGGGGGCTTCCGGCAGGCTGCCAGGAGTGCAGTGTGCATGGGGGAGAGTGCAGGGCTCTTCCTCCCTCCACATGCTCCTCCCCATCATGTGCCCTGCAGCCTGACAAAGAGATGCCACGGCAAATCTTGCAGCAGAAAAGGGGGAAAGGGGGATTTCCTGGGTCCCAATTTGTCTCCAAAGCCCGGAGATGGCCCACATCCGCCGCTTCCACTTTTACTCCACAACCCACCACTGGTCTTTCATAGGTTGTGGGGCGTGATGTGTGAACCCCGACCACTGGGTTGTTCAGGGGCTAAACAACCCAGCATTTGTCTTTTAATCCATGGCTCGCCTTCACATGCAAACAGGCCCAGCGAAATGATCCCCAGGACTGGGCTGCGACGAGCTGAAGCATGGCTGCTATCCATCTCTGTTCTAATCCCAACCCTCCGTACCTGCAGGACAGGACTGTTGTCAAAGTTATAAGCACTGGGCCTCCCCTCCAGCGTTGAAAATGCCACATTCCCTCCCGTGAGCGGAGAGATGTCACTGAATTCATCGGTGCAAAGGGCCTGCTGCTCATCCTCTCCGGTCCTGATAAAGCCCCGATTGGGTTTCTGGTAGGTTTTCTCACAGGATCCGCTGTAGTACTGATAAGGCACCCATGGGCCGTCTTCCCGAGTTCGCTTGTAGATGACAAAGCTCTCTGGCCGGCTGGTGTGGAATTTCAGGCGTACGTATGTAATATCAAAGGCCTTTCCTACAAGGAAGAAAACAGCAAAAAACATTAGATGCAAGGCCAAATAACTGGGTTAGAAAGGGGGAGAAGCTTCTCTTCTTTATTTCCAAGGATATTTTGTGTTTTGCTTATTTTTGGCGTGGTTGCATTTCCCTGAAATGAAAATGCTATATTCTATCCAACCTGCTGCACTCACTGCACTGCAAAGGGGTCAATGTTATCTTTCCCGCCTACCTGGAGCAAAGTAAGAAATGACATTAAGCAATGTGGGGTGCTTTTTCCACAACAAATTGTACGGCAAGGACCTTTCGCATGCCACAGATTTTTCTGGGGCCTATTTTGGGGCAGCCCTGCAAATAAACCCACAAAAGTGATGACCCCGCAGAAATCTCTCCTAGTCCACCAACTCATTTACGCTTGAATGGTCTGAAAAGGACAAAAAACAACACCAGAGCTTTGGGTAGAATTCGGGTCAAGTTAAACATTTGTAGGACCAGTTTCAGTGGGAAAAAGACGCACACGCTTAAATTGTTTGGATGGAACCCATAAACTGCTCATGTTCTGCCTGGAGGGTCCATCACCTTTCTTCTAACTGTACATGTTCACCTGTCCGGTCAACTGGAGGTAACGGGCAACCAGGTGAATGGATTGTTCCAAGCCTGCTGTGGGACCAGCGCTGGACACATGCAGTGCTGCTGGGCCTGATCCGACACCCACATGCACTGAAAATACATCTGGGAGAACACCCCACATTCACACAGCTCTGCACTGCAGGGGAAGATCATAAATGGGGGAGGCGCAGAGTGGACTTGCAGTCAATTGTGTGTTTTCTGGAAGCTTCTCAAGAGGTTCCTCAGCTGGAGATCAGCATGGTGGCTCGGGATGATGGGACATGCACTCCAAGACACCTGGAGGGCGACGGCAGCTCGGGGAAAGCTGTCAACATAGTATTTAATCTTTTTAATGGGCTCTCTCCCGTCCAAAAGGCATGGAGATGAAATACCCAAGCTTATGAGGAATGTCCTCTATGATAAGAGTCAAGTGACAAGGAGGCAACAAGATTTAGGAGGAGGAGGATGAGAAAGCATCCAGCGTTCGTTCGTTCATTCAGTGGTACCAAGGTGAGGAATTCTGCTGTCGTTCCTTGACACGGAGGGACAATTTTAACAGCTCCATGATCTGCATGCGGGGGCGTGAAAGAAAGAAAGAAAGAAAGAAAGAAAGAAAGAAAGAAAGAAAGAAAGAAAGGAAAGAAAGACAGACAGACAGACAGACAGACAGACAGACAGAAAGAAAAGCTCTTTCTGATTTGGAAAGGAAGCAAGCATTCCTGATCCGCAGGGCGCAAGAACAGTGGCACTTCTGTTAAAAGAGACACTTCAAGCTATGTTCAGCAAAGACGCGCTAAACAGCCTTTGCACTATGGCGCATGAACAGGGACGGCGCTCATAGTTGGCAAGTTTTATAATGATGTGGGCTGAGCGGGCAGCCATTCCTCACCCTGGGTGTTTAAGAGGAAGCGCCTCCGTTTTCTGTCAAGACAAACAGCATCTGAAGGACACGCCAACCGGCAGGCAGGCAGGCAAATGTCCTGTGCGCTTCCCTACGGATACGTCCTGGTGGCACCCGGAAGAAGGAACCTGCAGGGCAGCTAAGGACGGCTCAGAGATGGAGCTGCCCCTGGAGTGCCAGAAACCGCTGACATGAATTACATCTCTGGGAAGAGCCTGTTAGGAAAGCTGTGGGCAAAGCACCTTCCTCTCAAGGCTTCTCGGTGGGGAGAGAAGTTCCCAGGATGAGAAGCACAGCTGCCCACCGGCTGCTCTTGTGTCACCCCTGTGGGTTTGCGCACAGGCACGATCTCACCATCACCTGCCGAAAAAAGCACATACGGCAGTCCAAACGGCAGCAGACAATGGTGGCTGTGTGGTACGTGCTCTATTCAAACACGGAAGAAGTTCGGACCACACGATGAGCCGTGCTGGAGTTCATTAAACCCTTCCACAAGTCACGGCTATTGAGAAGAGTGCTGGGTTTAGACACACACTAAACCAATGGTTGTCAACCTTCCCACAGCCGGGGACCGGCGAAAACAGGAACAGCCTCTTGGGGACCACTGAGGCAGAAACAAAAAGCACCATACATGATACAGTGTTCTGTGTGTTCGTTTCCAAACACAATACTAAAAGAAAATGAAAACTTTCCAAAGCAGCCAGGAGCTGACCAACCAAAAATGGCAACATCAGAAGAAAATATCGAAATCGGCACAACGTGGCTCCCACCGAGCCGTCTCTGGCCCCCTCGGTGGCACCCGCACAAACCCCGCCACAGACGCAATGCCAATTGAGAAAAAGGGGCAGCGCACAGCCAGCCCCTGCACCAGTCGGCGGAGAGCAGGATGCAGCCCTGCCCCCACGGACTGGCAGGAAACTTCCCGCGGAACGGCACTGGTCCACAGACCAGCAGTGGGAAGCACTGTGCTAAACCGCTGCAGCTTAACATGTTGTGTGAATCCACTCCCACTGGCGATGTACGACCACTATTGCTAGACACAAGGTGTTATAATTGTAGTTTTTTTCCTCATTGTATAACGGCACTCTGCGATTGCAATCTATAACAGTGTTTCCTTGTACGTGCGACATGTAGGGCTGTTCTACATTGCCCAATTTCATGAAGAGCCCCGGACAATTTCTTTACTCATTTTATAAAAACAGTATCTTTGTGTATAGTTTGGCCCAAATACCCCCTCCCAACAAAGCAGAATTGCAGGCAATTCCGGGACACGTTCTAAAAAATATATTCAATTCAAATGGAGCACACACTGGACCCACAGCGCACCATGAGCACACACCTCGGGGGCTGTCCGCTGCACGGGACGATTAGGAGACTGCCTTTTCGAGAATTTCACCCACGATTTCTCATCAGTGTAAAAAAGCTTTTAATAAATAAAATAAATAACAATAGATAAATCTTGTGAATGATGGATCCCCAGAAGTTTCCAGGGACGCGGTGAATTACCAAGCACAAATACATAGCATGAATGTGCAGTTCTGATATATGGCAACGTAAAGCACGTGAAACAAGCCACAAACTGACTGGATTTTGGGATTGCGCCCGAAAGAAGCTGCATGAAAACACGGGTGGCTGCAAAGGAAGAGTTAAAGGGCTTCGATTGATAATAGTTTGCTGTACCCTCGTTTGACTTCCCTTATTGTGTTTATTATAAGAATGGCGCCGTAAGTGAAACACTGTACAAGAAACACACATCTTGACAACTAGGAGTGCAAATATTTATTTTATTTTTAAAAAATTGAAATAGAGGTGACACTGATGAAATGACGCTGCTTTTTCTCACCTGCTGTTCCTTAGGTTTGGAACTACCTGTGCAAATGCCCCCTTCCTCACAATTCATCTTCCATCCCACCTTTTCCAAAAGACTTGGGCACAACCAACTAATCCCCATGACCTACTGCTCTACCTGTCTTTGTGGCTGTCTTCCCCTCTTGATTTCTAAATCATTAGCCCCTCGGAGAAGGGATGTCCTCCTCTAATGTCACTACTCAGTCGCGTCCAATTATAAGCGATCCTAGGGGACAAATCTTGCCACACTTTCTGATCCTCTGCCACCTCTTTCTGCTGAACTAGACTCTGGCCCGCATCCTCCTTGATGGAGTCCAACCACCTCGCTCTTTGGCGACCCAGTTCTCTCTTGCCACTGAGCGTTCCAAGTATTATATCTTTTTACAATGAGCTCAGTAGCAAAATGTGGCCAAAATACTTGAGACTCAGCTTTGTTACCTTGTGACCATCTGGTCATCTGGTTTAATATGCTCCTGCCTGTTTGTCTGTCTGTCTGTCCCACCATCCATGGAATGCGTGGGAGCCTCCGCCAACACCACAGTCTGAATGAGTCGATTTTCCTCTCGTCCTGCTTTTTCACTGCCCAATCTTCACAACCGTAGGTTGCAAAATGATCACTCAGACCCATCTGCACTTGGTTGCCAAGCTGATGTTCTTGCCTTTCCACACACGATTCATGCTTGTCTTTCCCGCACGACCTAGTAAGATTCATCACTTTATTACTGGACTGCATCCACTGCTGGAAGTAATCAGCGATCCAAGGAAAGTGGATTCCTCCATACATTCAATTTCCACAGTATCAACTCCTTTTTTGATGGCTTCATCCTGTGCAGTTGTCAGGATCTTTATCTTTTTGATGTCCAGAAGGAGGTGAATGTCTCACTCTCTTCTCTGATTCTTTGGATCAATCGCGTTAGACCTTCCCAGGTTTCCGAGAGGAGAGGCTGTGCCATCAGCATATCGAGGGTTATTGATGGTTTGCCCTCTGATTTTATCCCAACTTTTGATTCTTCAGGATCCATCTTCCTCTGATCACTTTTTCATACAAGTTAAACAAAAAAGGGGAGAGAATACATCCTGGTCGGACTCCATTCTCCACCTTGAACCAATCTGTGTCCCCATACGACGTTCTTACAGCTGCTGGCTGGTTTGTATATAATGACTGCAGCCACCTGACCAGGTGGGTTGGTACCCCCTGGTCTTTAGCGCTTTCCACAAGTTGTCATAGTCAACTCAGTCAACAAATTTCTTGTAGTCAGTAAAGCACAGCTGAGCATCCTTTGAGAGTCTCCATAATCCAGTGCAAGTTTGCCATATGGTCATGAGTACCCTGGCCTCTTCGGAAGCTTGCTTGGACTTCAAGTAGTTCCTTTCTATGATGGATGCGAAGCATCATTGCATAATTTTAAGGAGAATTTTGCTAGCGTGAGGTATGAGGACAATTGTGTGGTGGTTAGAACAGTTCTTCGAGTCACTCATTTTTGGAATGGGAATGAAGATCGAGTGCTTCCAGTTCTCTGGCCATGTGCTGGCTTCCCAGATTTTCTGGCATTACACTGTTGTGGTTCCAATGCTTCAGCAACTCTGCAGGGATGTCGTCAATGCCTGGTGCTTTGGTGTTTGGCAGCTGACTTATTGCCCACGCTACTTCCTTCTCAAGG